GCTAGGTTGGATACACTCAAGATGCCGCCAATTGACAGGGAAAGCCCACAAACCCTTTGGTGGTCTTTCTGTAATTCTTGTGGGTGATATTGCACAGTTAACCCCTGTTGGTGATAAGCCACTTTATCATACAATACCCAGATCAGAAAAGCAAATTCAGGGTCACCTTATGTATGAGCAGTTTGAGAAAGTAATACGACTAACAGTCAGTCACAGAGTGAATGGTACCAGCATATCCCAGTCCCTTTTCAGAGATCTTCTTCTCAGGGCATGCAATGGTGAATCAACAGCAGATGATTGGCAGACATTGTTATCAAGAACTCCTCAGCAGAATGAATTGGAATCAACAGCAATAAGGCTGTGTTACCTTAAATCTAAACTTGCAGAGATAAACATGGCAAGGTTAAAATATCCAAATAACCCAATAGCAGCAGTAAGGGCCAGACACTCTGGTGGTGCTCATACACTTAGTGCTGATGAAATGGGAGGACTTGAGCCCGCAGTTTACTTAGCTAAGGGAGCTAGAGTTATGCTAATAATGAATAATCGGACAAAAGTTGCGCTTTGTAATGGAGCTCTAGGAACAATTGTAGATTTTGTTTGTGCAATAGGACAGACCCCTCCCACCTTACCAATCTGTGTTGTTGTAAAGTTTGAGGAAGGTTACTGTAGCCTTTCCTTCTCTTCTTCAGTATGTTCCTGTTTGCCCTGTAGCAGTACTTTCTCAAACCCTAGCTGCAAAATATGGAAGACGACAGTTGCCACTGAAACTAGCATGGGCAATAACTATTCACAAAAGTCAAGGTTTAACTCTAAAGAAAGCTATGGTTGATCTTGGTGATTCAGAGAAGAGCTCGGGTTTGATATATGTTGCACTTAGCAGAGTTAAGAAACTTAAAGACCTTGTTGTAGAACGTATGACATTAGAAAGACTGCAAGCAGCAAAAATATCTCCCAATTTACAGTATAGATTACATGAAGAAGAAAGGCTGAACAATCTACATATAGCAACTTTGCAAAGCTTGTAAGACAATGAAATCCCATCTTAGCTAACTCTAATATACACACAAAAAAACTAAATTAATTGTCATTTTAGGAAACATCAAAACTTCATACGGTACTACTAGCCTTTTATTAATTATGTGCATATATTTTTGTTTATATCAGAAAATGGCTGAAAAACGTATGTTGGACAATGGTAAGATTCTATTGACAAATTTTAAAAAAAAAAATTGTGGATCTCTTTAAATTTCAACACTTAACTTCAACCACTCAGTGGTTGGTCAGCGATGGCAGTCGCAAATTTCTTAGCTCTGTTTTCTTTGCTGATATTGACGGTGCTGCTCAAATCCAATGACCTCGCTGGCTCCGTTTACCAGGACAACTGTTTTACTTGATCCAATTGCCATTCTGTTACTTAATCCCTTTTGGAATGGGTAGCAGGAGTAAATGTATATTCTTGGAAAGGAACACAAGTGCCATCTGCTATCTTGGATTCTACCTGTAAGTCAAGGTTTGTCACCCTTTATACTCTGCTCATTCGTGGTGATATAAATCCAGACCCTGGACCTCGGTGAAAATATCCATGCGGCATTTGCCACAAGCCTGTGAAGTCCAACCAGCAAGGAATACAGTGCCATTATTGTGATCAATAGTATCATTCGAAATGCTGCATGAATGACCTTATTCATGATGCCCTGGTTAATAGCTCCTGCCTATGGATATGTTGTGATTGTTGTTTATCAAGTTTTGCTACCTCACTATTTCATTATTCTGGCTGTATGGAGACATCTAATTGTTTTTCTCCATGGGCCCAAGCTTTGCCTAGCCTCAGATCTCCCATACGGGCATCCAGCCCTTCTTACATGATTCCAAATAAGGGAACAGAGAACATCACAAGGAATATGAGTAAGATTCAAGACACCCTTACATCAGAACCAAGCTCCTCTAATTATAGTGATAACGACTAGTCCAGCCATAACACATCCCTCCCTTCTGCTATTTGAACCAACTGATAGTATGCATAGTCAACTTTGCAGCCTTGTGCGTTATAGCAAGCACCTTAGACTATATCAGCTTATTGAGACCCACAAGCATATTTGTTAATGACATGCCAAATGTAATTAATAGTGTGATGCTGGCTATGTTTGCTGGGAAGTCTAAATGTTATGTCTAAATGAATGGTATTTTCAGCCTACAAAGTGCAGTAATCTGCGTATATCTAGGAAGCGGATTAGTCCATATCGTAGCGATAGTATAAATGGTATAGATGTGGAGGTTGTCTCAACTGAAAAAGATTTGGGGGTAGTGATCGTAAATGACACCTCTTGGAAGGATCATATATTCACGATAGTTGCTAAGGCAAATAGATTACTGGGCTTTATTAGAAGGAGCTGCGCAGAAATTGTTGGCAGTGTTCCACTATTGCATCTTTACTATTCGTTAGTGCGTTCGCCCTTTTGTTATTGCGCTCAATTATGGGCACCTCAGTCTGTTATCAGCAATTTATTCTTAGCTGAAAATGTGCAAAGAAGAGTTACACGCTTTATACTGAAAAGAAATAGTAGTAACTCATCTTATAAAGATCACTTAATGAAACTGAAGTTACTGCCGTTTAATTACTGGCTTGAATATCTCGCCTTAGTTTTCTTTTTTAAATGTTTTCATGGTCATATTGATCTAATTTGTTCATTAAATGACTATTTTTCCTTTGTTACGAGTCAGATGCGTCAAGCATGCTCAGGGCTGAACTTGAAGATTAATAATGATCGTACATCAACATTTCGGGACTTCTATTTCAATAAGATAGCAAATTTGTGGAATAATATACCTAATGATGTTAGGCAGGCTGAGTCTATTGACTCTCTTAAGTGTAAACTTAACTCGTTTTATTTCAAGAGACTTTTTGATGTTTTTGATCGTGACAACTTCCGTACCTTTTTAATTTGTCCTAAATGTCGCTGAGTAAATACCCTTGTTGTGCTCTCTTGTTAAACAGCCTATTTAGTCTATTTATATTATTAAGTTATTTTAGGAGGGGGTTGGGTTGAAGCTTAAACCTAGTAGGGGACTTATGTCCTATTGCTTTTGCTTCGGCACTGTTTTCTACAAATCCTTAAATAAATAAATAAACATAGGCACTGAAACACACCTTAACAAGGACAATGACAGCAGAGAGATATTTCCCCCTAACTATGTTTATTCACCACCAGTCTGAAAGGATCAGGACTCAGGTGGAAAAGGAGGAGGTGAAGTAATTGAAGTTAACAGCAACATAGTCTATGTCAAGCAGTCCTCTCCAGCAGAATGCGAAATTGTCTGGTGTAATTTCTTTCATAAATAAGGCAGTGTTGTTGTGGGTTCCTTTTACCAACCCTCTTCTACATCTGTTGATTATCTGGAGCAGCTTTAACTCTCTATGAACAACATCAAACAACTCAATGGTATTGATGGCAAGTAAATCTTGTTAGGTGGTGACTTTAACCTTCCTAATGTTGACTGGGAAGACGGCTCTGTCAAGTCAAACCCACAGTATACTGCCGCTATAAATTGGAAAACGATCGACATTGCAAATGATTTAAACCTTACTCAAATGTTAATGGAATCAACTCAACAAGGAAACATTCTTGACCTGCTTTTCACATCCCACCCAGATCTTGTCGATAAAGTCTACACAGCCCCGGGCATGAGAGATCATGATGCTGTTATCTGCGATATCAATCTCAGAGCAAACCCACCAGCTAACCCTAAAAGGAATGTTTATCCCTACAATTGGGCTGACATGTAAGGTCTTTGGCAGAAACTGAAGGAGCGCTTTGAGTTATTCCAAATATCTCATTCTGAAACAAAGTCTATTCAAGCAAATTGGGATCAGTTTAAAGCAGACATTTATAACTCCATAAACGAGTTTATACCGCAGAGGATACTCAAAAACAAAAGATCTCTCCCAAGGTGCTATGCAAACATTAGGCGTCTCAGCGATGTTATTACTCTGCACATCGCAATGGAAAGGAACAAAATTGGTGTACATTTAGGCATCTCTATAAGCTGGTACGTAAAGAACTGCAGCTAGCACACCAACAATATCTAAACAATTTATTGGACATTAATGAGGCCGACGTTGTTAATGACCATGCCAAGGCAGGTGTCACCAAGCGCTTCTGGCAATATACTAAGGCTAAACGTAGAGACTGGTAGAATCGCTATCTTGAAATCACATGGCAAGGAATTCACCAAACCCAAGGAGAAAGCAGACATCTTAAACGAACAATATGACAGTGTATTCACACTAGAGGATCCAGTTCTATCTCAACTACCCAATAGCCCCTACCCAGACATGCCCAATATCCACATTGACAGCAATAGTGTAATCAAACTGCTTAGCAGACTGAACCCATCTAGAGCCAATGGCCCTGACTTACTACCTATGCACGTCTTAAAGGAAGTGGCAACAGAGATAGCTCCTTGCCAGTGGTTTATCTTCCAACGATCCATCAACACTGGTGAGGTACCATGAGACTGGAAGCATCCCGATGCTATAGCAATATTTAAGAAAGGCTTTAGGTCAGAGGCCGTTGATTACTGGCTCGTCTCCTTAACGTCAGTGCCATGCAAGCTGTTAGAGCACATTATTTATTGCAGTATTAAGATACATTTACACTCTTTTGACATCCCAGTGGTGGATCCAGGGGGAGGGTCCAAGGGGTCCAGATCTGAAAGATCCAGATCAGATCTGATGCTTACAACTCTGAGACTGAAATTCTTACATCGACAGGATCAAATATCACTTTTTAACTGGCTGATATTTTTAATGAAGCACACGTGGTATTTTTCCACTAAACTAAATTCCAGGGATATTCAAAAATGTAATTGTTTTTGGGTACCCACTTATGATCTTCTCGCCTCTGCTCACAAAGCAGTATTTCCTGCGCCAACGGTGACTAGTGTTCACAGATTGAGAAACACGTGATCGTCTCTGCTTTCTCAGCTGGTCGACAATTATGTCGAAAACTCGGCCGATAACCACGTTCTTTCAACCAGTCAAATCCAGTGAAATTGAAAATGAAACAGTTAATGGTGAAGAAGCTGAAGCTGAAGCCATGGAATTCGAAAACGGTAAGTTAATTTATGCTTTTATTCCATTTCCTGAGAAATGTTAGTGACTATGGCTTAGAAGTAAAAATTTGTACGTTTGTCGTTTTAGTTGAACTTTCTGATTTTGATGCCGAAGTCTTAGTGGAAGGTCCAGTTTCAAGTGGTGTTATGGAAGGTGTATGCTGCATTGAAATTCATTTTTTTGGCTAGCTAGGGTACGTAAAATTAGATATCTAAACAAGCCTGAGGAAAACAAAGCCCACGCAGCCAATTATTTACAGACCTGGCATCTGAGAAGAAATCAGTATTTAAATAAATTTTAACTTATTTTACTGCATTTAGGAACACATGACACTATTAGTTAGGTACTTTTTGCTCCTTTATACGTGACTATCAGCATCATGTTTACCTTATTACTTTATCATTCTTGTGCGGCTTATCAGAAATATTTTACATTTTCACTTGAGACTTACGATCCAAATGCGGCATTTTGTAGTGCTGCTCGGCCTTGCCCTTGCTTTGGGAAAGTTTGTCAAACATGCATTTCATCAGTCTAAATACACGTAAAAACCGTGTCCAAAACAAAACAAAATAGAAAACAAATAGAAAAAAAGTACGGACGGCTTGCGTCTGCGGAAAAAGTTGAATTTGGTTCAACTCTTAGTTTCCACAAACGCAAGCCATCACACACGAAAAGCCAGTTAAATTCGCGCTGTGAATGACGTGCATAAAATTACGCGACGGTGGAAATCAACTTTTAATTTCTCATGATTTCTGTTACTTTTACATTGGTCAAAGAACACGACGATCTTAGTTAAGTTTTGTGATCAAAGCCAACCTATTTTTTAATCTTTTCAAAGCATTTCTTTCATTCTTCATAAGGACAGCATATCATTTAAAATTAATTTTCAGTTTTCGACAAAGCTTTACCCCATAATTTGACAATTTTAATTTTTCTCATCACAGCGTCACCAGATGAGCTTCTATGTGTCGTATTCAAGTATTTCAGTCTTAAAGAGATAATAAACAAGCTAAGGCTCGTATGCAGAAGATGGAGACGTATCTCTGAAAGTGACATGTTGTGGACCAATGTTTGCCTTGATGAATGGGGCATCACTCATTTAAGCGAGGATCAGTTAAAGACAATCACAAAGCATGCACAGGTTTTCAGAAATTTCTTAGTAGCCTTTATTGATGTCAAGAAACATGGATTGAATGAGACACAATCTACAGCACATACTATTTGTAACACTATGTTTGTCTCATGGACTTAATTATAATTTAAATTTGAGTGGCCAGTTGGTATGTAATCTGACCTTCTTGCAAGGCACGCGCCAGTTGGTATGTAATCTGACCTTCTTGCAAGGCACGCGCCAGTTGGAGTATTTGATCCTAAATGATTGAATTGCATTGAAGGACATATCCCTGATTTCTTTTTGTAAAAATTTAATTTTCCTTTTGTTTAACAGGGTAGTTATTCATGAGGGTGAGCTCTTGCAGTCTATACTGCAGCTGTCAAATCTGTTTTTCTTTGGTGTAAAGGGAAACTAGCTATCTTTAGAGTCACTTAAAGAAATGTGCAAAACACTTTGCAAGCTTTCCGATCTAAACTTAGACCTTAATAAAGAAAATCAATCAGAATTTTTATCCTTAGCAAGCGAATTTTATATCACTGTCAACAATTCTTAATTAAAAGGGTGCAGTACATTGACTCAGTTGAGAAACATTTATCAGATGAGGTAAACATTTAGCTTGTCAGTGTTCAGTTTTTATGTCACTGTAAGATTCAAACGTGCGTGAACGGTCACTTAAGTGCGTTACTCTCGATTTAAATTTTAACCTTAATCTTCATGTGACTCTTTTGATTACGCCTTTAAGTTCTCGTTTTTCAGTGTATTATATATTCGATGTTGGCTTTCGTCACGGCAAGATCTTGTTTTCAAATCATCGTTTATTTTACTCGACCCGTTCACATCAATAGGAGGAAATATCTGTAAGTCGTTAGTCTTTTTTTGCTTTCATTTAGTTTGTCAATTTTCTTAGATCTATTGTAAAATAGCCGAGCTATCTTTTCACTTTTAGAAAAAAAACATTTGCATTTCCGTTCTCAACTTAGACCTTAATATAGTAAATCAATCAGAATTTTTTATCCTTCGTCTTCAAATTTGATATCACTGTCAACAATGCTTGATTAAAGGTGCAACGTTGACTCAGTTAAGAAACATTTATCAGATGAAAAACATTTAGCTTGTCAGTGTTCAGTTTTCAATCACAGTCTGTTAAAAATCAATTTGACGATTTATCAATATACGACTTCCTTGGTTTATAGGTGTTTCCCAATTTTCTTCCCCTGATCAGCATGTTGTATTCTACTTTGATGTCAGGGACATTGTAAGTGGCAAAGTTGATCCAAGAACTCCTCAGTCCCACGAAAAAATTAAATACCTTAAGAACAATTTCACTCTGCCTCCTTCATACACAGGCTTTTTCTCCAAGACTGTGGTTAAGGGAAAAGACAAACGTACTAAGAAGCTTGTGTCCCAGCCCTCATGGTTGGAAAAGTATATGTAGCTTGTATATAGTCCTTCACAAATGAGAGGTTTTTGTAAATATTGTGTGATGCATAATAATCCATCAGATCCTCGAGCACAGAAAAGGCCTCTAGTAACTGCTCCATCCCAAAAGGTAAAAAAAAGCCACTAGGAAAGATGGGGGTACTTGAGCGTCATCAGAAAATGCAATGTCACCAGTTGGCACTTGAAGCCGGCATTGCCATAATCCGAAGTTTTCAAAAACCAAAGGAAACATGAACGCACTTGAAGCAATCATAAGTACCATAATATTGTGTGGCAAACAGAACATCCCACTTAGAGGCCATCAAAATGACAGCACAAGCATGGCATCCAACAAAGGCAACCTTCACGCCATTCTAACGTTAGTGGGCAACTCTGATAAAAATCTTCAAGAACACTTTCTTACTGGTAGGAGAAATGTTAAAAGCACCTCAAAAACTGTACAATAAGGAGGCATTCGCATCACTGGAGAGTATATTCGGGCAAAAGTTACACAGTCAATTCAGAAGGAAGACGCTTTTTTCTCAATTCTTGGCGATGAGGTAACAGACAAATATGCAAACCAAGAAATATTAAGTGTTTGCCTTAGGTTTTTAGATCTAAACAACGACGTTTCACCTAAAATCAAAGAAGTACTTTTTGACTATGTCAACCTTCACAAAACAACTGCTGAGAGCATAGCAAACGCTATTTTGTCAAGTTTGGCTGAGAACAACATCAATGTGCTGTTTGCAAGACGACAGGCCTATGATGGTGCCAGTGCCATGTCCTCAGAAGCATGTGGTGTGCAAGGAAGAATAAGGAGAATAGCACCGATGGCAATGTACACTCATTGCAACAGTCACGTTTTGAATCTCAGTGTTGCTGCCCCATGCACGTTAACTTCAGTCAAAAACATGATTGGAACCTTAAATGAAACTTTCCTTTTCTTTCATTTTTCACCTAAAAGAGAGCGATTTCTAGAACAAGTTTTAGAGAAGTGTGGTTCTACTTCCAGAACGGAGAAGTTAAAAGGCTTATGCAAAACCTGATCGGTGGAAAGACATGAATGTTACAAACTTTACGAGTATGTTTGCATAAGCTTGGAAGCGATAGTTCATCATGAGTCGCAACCTCATGTTTATTCCTTGTTATCGTTCACGTGGGACAGGAAGACTAAAACCAAGGCACAAGGTCTTCTGGCAAATTTGAATATATTCGGATTCATTTTCATCTTTTTGATCACAAAGAATAGCCTTGGAACACTCAAATCTATTGCAGCTAAGCTTCAGAAGAAAGACCAAGATGTCTTCCAAGTATATTCTATGATTGACGACACTATTAAAGCAGTTGCCAGGGTGAGGTCAAACATAGAAGAGGAATGTCATGAATGGTTTGAAGATGCATCTAGACTGGCTGACAAGATTGGCGATACAGCCCCAGTGCTAAGAGTCACTGGGACGCAGGAACATAAGAACAATGCACCTAGCGTAAACCCGGAATCGCCTTATCGTGTTAAGTTGCCATACCTTTTACAGATCATTTATTGGAAGAAATGAGTTCAAGGTTCAGCAAAGACAACAGGGCTGGGGCCGAAATTTTTTCCTTGGTTCCATCTGCTGTGGTTAAGCATGATAGTCTTCGTAATTTAGCAGAAAAGCTGCAATTTTGGCAACAGGACTTACCTACACTGTCCTCTCCTCTGAGTTGAAGGAATGGCAACACTTTTGGAAACAGTACACACCCACTTAACAGCTACCAGGAAATCTTATCGAGTGTGTTAAATATGCTCATGAGGATACGTACCCCGACATACGAGTTTTGCTTATTATTGGTTGTACCCTTCCTGTTAGTTCTGCCGAAGCTGGCGTTCATTCTCTGGCTTGTGATGAATCAAGTCATATCTCAGAAACAGGATGTCTGATGAGCGGTTGTCAGAACTTGCACTCATGCATTTACATCATGACCTTAACATTGATGTTGATGAAATCTGTACAATCTCTGTAACCAAACACAAGAGGAGGATGTTCCAAGGGTGCATCCTTTACAAGTAGAATCCAAGCAAACGGTAAGCAGCCAAGGAATTATAACATGCAACCGCAACTGGTGGGAGGGGGTGTGGGGGAGAAGTAATTTGCCTCAAAAGAGTCCAACAGTCCTTTCTGAACCAAATTTTGGACCTCCCCATCAAAAATTCCTGGATCCGCCCCTGCATCCTGGTGGATGCCCAACATGGTTTCCGTCCTGGGTGCTCATGCAAAATGCAACTTATCAACATTGTAGAGCATCTAGCCCGACCAATAAATTATAGAAACCAGACTGACCTCTTGATCTTAGACTTTTCTAAAGCCTTCGATAAAGTAGCACTTTACCTGGATAAAGGCAAGGCTAAGAGGAAGAACTCAACAGGTGGTCCTTGAAGGCGGGTTCAGTGAAAAGTCTTGTGTGAGATCTGGAGTTCCATAAGGAACTCTGTTGGTTCCCTTATGCTTCTTACCTCCAATATTAAGTTATTTGCTGATGACACCCTGTTGTATGGCCTGGTACACAATTCCGACAATGCAATCAGTCTCCAATCTGATCTGGACAAATTAGTTGAATGGGCAAAGATGAGGCAAATGGCTTTCAATCCATCAAAGTGTTATATTCCACACATTTCCTGAACGAAGTGTCCTTTTATACACCCATAAACTATGCTTGGCCATACCCTACAAGCTGTAGACCACTATCCCCACCTTGGAGTTTCTCTGTCAGGGGACCTAAACTGGAAGCCACATATCCTGAACATTACAAAGCCAATTCAACACTTGGCTTTGACAAGAGGAACTTGCATCATTGCCCACAGAAGATTAAAGATCAGTCCTACAAATCGCTAGTGAGACCAATGTTGGAATATGGTTGTACTGTGTGGGATCCATATAAAGCATATCAGAAATTATGGCTCAAACAGCTCCAGCGCAGGGCAGCATGCTTCATAACAAGAACTTACATGAGGGAGGAGAGATGCATAGCCAATGCTATAAAGCAACTTAATTGGCCAACTCTCGAAATAGAAGACAAGTAGCTAGACTGACACTGATGTACAAATGTGTTACCAACCTGACCGCTATAGATATCCTTGGCTATGTACATCATCAGTCTTCCCTAAAAACCAGATCATCTCATCCACTGAAATTTATCCCACTTCAACCATCCTGTGGCACATACAAATACAGCTTCCGGCCGAGAACTATCATTGACTGGAATAGCCTGCCACCTGATTATTTAACATTGGATTCAACTGCAAAATTTAAAGCAACCATCTCTGACTACATTTTATCAAGTACCCCTAAAGGTTCTTGGCATTGCATGTTACTTTCCTATTTCTGTGGCCCATCACAGGTTAGTATTGAAGAAAACCAAACTACAGTATATCTTGACATTGAGACAATCTTGGAGAAACTTGCCGATAATGATTGTCTAAATTAAACTTTTTGATTTCTTTCATTCGCAGAATATGGCTTCATACATAACATCAGTCTTGTAAAAAAAATCCAAAAATAAATGTGAATGGTACGAACCCAGCCGCAGACGTCACCCATCAAAACGACCAGAGTTGTTGGCCTCAACATCCCATGGTAGTCTAGGTTAAAAGATTTCGAAACTTCGAAAACACCCATTTTACTTAAGAACCTTAAACTGAGAAACAATAACATAATATTCAACCAGCAGTCATCTCCACATGCAGCTGCCAATTCTGATGCCCCCTTTGATTACATACAACAGGAAAAACCAGAAAACAGATGTAGCAATGCATTGTCTCAGTTGGCAGATGTTTCAGTATCAGATATAAAAACCTTGAAATCCAGCCTGAATGCAATCATAACAGTTGGAAAAGAAGATCTAAAGCAAGTCACACTTACCAAAACACAGAAGTCTGCTTACGTAAAAAGACTGCATTTTAGAAAATTCTTCTGGATCAATTATGGCATACATTTGGGCTCCTTTGATAGATCAGCTGAAGAACGGAGAGGCTTACTCTTTCACTAACCTTACCATCAGAAATTATAAAGGTCCCACCTTTGTTAGCTCATCTCCACTAACAACAGCCAAACCGTCACCTTTAAAAATGGAAAAATTCGTAGGTCTACAGATGCTCAAAACACCATGCAATGACGTCAGATGTGAAAACTTTAAATTAATAAGCAAGTGAAGCATGTTTGCTTCCTATATCCTGTGCCATAAACGTCTAAATAATGTTGTTTCAACAAACTCGCTTGAATGTCACAACATTCACTCAATGTCACATACCAACCGGCGGATTTTTTGCAATACTTAACCCACTTAATGGACAATGCACTAGATCAACATCCTGGTTTGACTATGGTTGCCGGAGGCGATGTTAATCGACTTGACACTAACGAGCTTATTATAATGACAGGATGGGACTCTCTTGTAGATTTTCCAACAAGAGGCGACACGTATTTAGACAAGGTCTTCACAAACCGGCCGGATTTATTTGCAAAGAGCATTCCATACTTTGTGTCCATAAAAACAGATCACACAGCGATCATTTTACCAGCAGGAACGAAATTAAAGCCGATCAGACAAAACGTTCGCATTAGGGATTGTAGAAGACACCGTAAGGAGGGATTGTACCTAAAACTAGTAAGTGAGAATTGGGACAGTGTCTTAAACTTAAATGATGTCGAGGAGGCAGTGAATAATTTGGAAGCAAAAATTAAACACCACATGGATGAGTGTATGCTGTTGCAGTCAGTACGCATGTCATCGCGTGATCTGGTGTGGATGACACCCTTAGACAAATCGTTAATGAGGGTAAAGTCAAGAATAGCTCCAAGCAATAAAGATCAGCTGGCTGAGGTTAACAGGAAAATAAGCGACTTGATTAGTAAGAACAGAAGAACACTCGCAAAGGCACCTGTCGGATCCAGAGAATGGTGGAAGCACGTAGATAACTTGTCCCAACAACGCAGCATTTCTGCTAACGCGACATTGGACACTAAATCACTGGAGGAGCTAAACGACTACTTTGCCGATTTGTGCACTGATGACGCATATACGAAGCCTGTACCAGCTATTGTGGATAAGAGCTTAGAAGCCCCTCAGATATCAGAAAGACACATGTGGAATTGCTTACAACATCTGAAGAAAACCGCTATGGCACCAGAACTCATTCCCTTTTGGATTTGGAGGGATCACGCTGAGATCTTCACAAGTGTCATTCATAAGATCTGGAATGTTTCCCTGAAAAATGGCAAGTGGCCCCCCTCATGGAAAAGGGCCCGCGTGACGCCCCTCCCTAAGATCGACATCCCTAAGGGCAAGCCGGACTTCAGAGGAATTAAGATCACGCCTGTAATTGCACGCGTGTTCAAGAAATCTGTGTATAACAGCCATGCACAAGACATTGTCGAACAGCATCTGAGTTCAACACAGCTTGCCTATACGACAGGGAGGAGTTGCACTGATGTGCTCTTGAGCATGCAGCATACCTACTAAAGCTATTTAGACGAGCAAGACTGCAAAGCCGTCCGAGTATTTGCAATGGATTTTAGTAAAGCATTTGACTGTGTCAATCATGAACTCCTGTCATCTAAGCTTAGGCAGTTGTCATTGAATCCCCTTATTGTGAACTGGTATTTAAGCTTTCTCGAGAAACGCCAGAAGCGAGTAGTTTATAATGGTTTTGAGTGACATTGGCATGAGGTTAATAGGGGTACGACACAAGGTAGTGTCAGTGGGCCATATCTTTTTAACGTGTTTATTAATGACTTGGAGATCAATCTAGGTCGCCCACCCTTGTTTAAATATGCTGGTGATTCTACAATTATCGTCCCTTTTTGGGGAAATAGCCAGTGTCGCACTGACTTGGTGGATCAGTTTCTTAGCTGGTCCAGCCATAATCGCATAACATGTAATCCAACAAAATGCAAGGAGATTATTTTCCGTAAGAAAGGTTTCAGTCAGGACATTGCGCCAGTTAGTAATATACTGCAGTGCGCAGAGTTATCCATATTAGGTGTTACCTTCCAACAAAATTGTAAATACAGTAGTCACGTGCGCGCGAAGGTAATTAAGGCGAACAAGTCATTATTTGTATTAGGATCTTTACGTAAGGAAGGAATGTCCCAGGAGGAAGTAGATCACCTTTTTAACGCAATAGTTTTACCAAATTTTTCTTATTCTCTGCCGGTTTATGGTGCCTCAGATTCCAACCTTTCTGTAATACAGTATTTTTTAGACCGGTGTATGAAAAGAAAGTTTATGTCCAAGAATGTAAATATCAGGGATTTGCTAGAGAAGGCGGACAAGACACTCTACAAAAAAAGATCGAATGACCCCGAATGCCCGTTCTTCCAGTTTTTACCTAAGGAAAAGAACATGAGGTACAATCTCAGAAATACGTCAGTCTCTGTCCCTAGAATCTACACTGACAGGTTTAAGAACGTTTTAAGTAACAGAATAATTTTTAGATGGTATGTAAATAGCTTTTTTTTTTAGTTTATACTGTAACTTAGGATATGTGATTTTATCTTAAGAAATAAAGATTATTATTATTATTATTATTTGCACAAGACCAAAAGCAAAAGATATAACAAGAGAAGCCTCAGTGAGGATGTGCTTTGAAGACAAAGAAGGCACAAAAACATGGCTAACTGCCTTCACTAAGCACATTGTTGAGCTACTTGTACTTTTCAAAGTAACATTACAAAGCAACTTGGATGACATTGAAGAAGCTCTTATGAATGTCGAAGATGTGGTTTAAACATATAATGTCCAAACTGAAACCATCACAGATATTGTTTCCTTCAAACAACCATCACTTGAGTAAACCTGTCTTGATGCAGCAATTAACATATAGGCATTTTCCACTGAACAATTGAGGCTGCAATATTTCGCCAAACATGTTTTCATTTTGATGTTCTGTTTTGTTTTGTCATGCAATAGTTTTGATAGGATGCAGTTGACTATGTAAACCATGTCTTAATGCAGTAATTCTCGGAGATAATTGCCATTGAACAGTTAACAATGGAACATTTTGCTCAACATGTTTTTGTTTTATATATGATACAGTTTACTATGCAAACCATGCCTTAATGCAGCAATTCACATAGAGACAATTGCCATTGAACAATTAACAATGAGACATTTCGCTCAATGTTTTCGTTTTGTTCTATATGATGCAGTTTACTATGTAAACCATTCCTTAACGCAGCAATTCACAGAGAATTGCCAGCGAACAGTTAACAATGGAACATTTCACTCAATATGTTTTTGTTTTGTTATATATAATGCAGTTTACTATATAAACCGTGCCTTAATGCAGCAATTCACGGAGACAATTGCCATTGAACAGTTAACAATGGTACATTTCATCCAACAGGCTTTTTTTTTTGTTATATATGATGCAGTTTACTATGTAAACCATGTCTTAATGCAGCAATTCAATGCAATGCAATAGTTCGCTCAACATGTTGTTGTTTTGTTATATATGACAAAGTTCAATACAACTACAAGAAGCCTTTGCACTGTCAAGTAAGTTACTATATTTTCCCAGAAGAATCATCAAGTCTGAATATTCTGATAAGAAAGATTTAAAAGAGGTTGGTAGCTGCAGATAAATGATGTCAAGATGAAAATAGAAAATTCCAGCCATAAGCCCCTGCTCCTGCTTTTTTAGAAATGCCTTCGGGTTGGTTTTCACAAGTACATAAGAAGAACAATCAAATTATTTGTTATGCTAATATTATGGCTATGTTGCCATGAACACCACAACAAAGAAAATAGACAGTTTGATCCTTCTGGTTATGCTTATTGTTACATTGCTTGTGAAAACTAGTCCTTGGACATCTAACACACCTACTGACATGCAGCACGCATGTTATTGCATGAAACCCATCAAACATGTGCCACATGATACTAGCTGTGGGAATCGCTGGAATCCTCCATTTAATACTGTTGTTGTTCCTAAATACATCTTTCTGAAGTTTTAAATATTTTATCCTTCGAACATCAATTTTTTTTGTTATATAGGGTGTACAAAAAGTCTTTGACCCTTTCTTCTTCTGTCACTGTTTTTGGCACATTGACAACAAAAAATGAAAACCCCACGAGAAAAAGACATGGCCTTACCTAAGATAGCTTTATCAAACATTCACGAACTTTTAGCTTTTTAATGCAAACTGAATTATCCTTACTAAACCGCCATATTGGTTTTAGGAAGACGTTGAAAATTTACCATGGAAAAGATGGAAGAAACTTCAATTGATGAAGCAATGATTTCCTTCATCTTTTGTTCAGTTCTTAACGAGTCAGCAAGAAATATAGTAAAGAAAAAATACAATAACGAACAAAAACAGTTCAAATACTTCTGTACACCAATTAAATAGTGATAGACAAACAAATCATATTTTATCAGCTTTTGAAAATAAAGGAAGGAAGATATACCATTTTTGTGTTTTTTCTATATGTAGATATGGATTAAGAGTGTAAAAAGCAGGATTAATCTGAAAATTTTCCTTTTTAGCCTCCAAGGTTATAGTGAACAAGAGGTTACATGGTAGCCTTGCTTGTGCCAGTTATTTACAGTTGTACAAATAACTTTAACAAGCCTTCCTAAGAAATGCAGTGTATTTATACAAATCCAGCCCCAGGATTTGACTTCCACTTTGATAAGACTTTTAACCCCACCCCTATAAAAATCAGTAAATTGTAGCAACCTAGTACCATTGTGACCGTGCAGATTTTATACATTTTTATTAACATTTATTAAGATTTTAATGAAACCCCTATGTTATTTTAACAATACTTGCTAATAAATATAGCTCTTACCCCAGGAGAACTTTAAAAAGTACATCACAAGCAAAAAAGCTTAGTTCAATATAAAAATGTTTTATAATTGAAGAAAACATTTTTTAATTTTAAGTTCACAACAAATTTTAAATACTATAGCTTGGAAAAAAATGTGGAAATATTTTTTATACTTTTACTAATACTAAACCTGAGTGGTAAAAAAAGTAATAGATTTGAAAAAAATTCAGAAAAGCTGACAACAAATTAATGATAGTTTTTTTAACTAAAATATTTGTTCTAATGCTTTTTTCAAAATGTTGAGACCTACTGTGTTTAATTTAATATGTTAGAATGTGATAAAACTTCAACTGTACTGGCGCATGTTAAAAATTGTGCACAGTTTGAAAATAAAAGGGTAGTTGGTATCAGAAAATTAAATCATTTACTCTGAAGAACTCAAACAAAATTTTGAAACAAAAATATAAGTAGGCAAAAGATCTCAACATGTATAAGGAACACGACAAATTATACTTTGTTTACATATGCAGTATGTTTAGAGTTGTTTATTTTAGTAGATAACGTAATATTGTCTTGGACACTCCTTGCAAAGTATTGCATTTATGAATGACTATAACCATCCCAATAAAGCTGAATTCAAAGTAAAACAATTTCCATGTAATCAAATAAGGCGATTACTCTAATTACATCATTCCAAAAAGAGGAAAGCTCTTCGCACAAAGAATGTATCAATCCAGTTTCCATGTGATACAACTGACCAAACAAATATTTGGTGCTGTTATTCAATTTTATCCTTTCTCCAATGCTCTCAGCTGAAGTATTTTGAATTTTAATTTTAATTTGTCTTGCTCGTTGGCACTTAGCGATAACTACTATTAGTAGTAAGAATATAACTTTAGATTCATGTATTCAACAGTTCAAAAAGAAAATAAGGGAAGGTCCATACTATGTATGCTGTGTTTATAAAAGAGCACTTTATAAGAAATCAGTCTTAAAACTGATTACTAATAGATATCCCTGTCAGGATATCTTTAGTAGACAAACCTCATTTGATGGAAAACAATACATGACACATACAAGACTTGCCACTCTAAAGCAATTAAAGTACATACTCCCTGATGACGTCTACTTAAAAGAGGATCTGTTCCCTCTCAGTTTGACTGGTCCTCAAAAAGTGTTAAGAGAAGAAAAATCATTCGCCATTTTAGCAAAAACAAATTTATGGATGATTTAACTCATTTCCTTGACTGTGGTTTTAAAAGACAGAATCCATTATTTTTTCAGAGAAACAGACTGATGAGAGTGACATGGAGAGAGATACCGAGGCCAGTGAATCATTGGAACCACCAATCCAGAATCAATCAGAAGCCCTTAAATTGGAGCTTTTGCAAAAGACGCAAGAGCTGGAAAACAGCAAAAGAAAAACAACTGCTGCATTAGAAGAAGCTAGAGCAGTCAGGGTGCAGGCTGAAAAAGATCTTGATAAAGCTAGGAAAGTTACAGCTCAGGAGCTTGCAGTATACAAGTTTGGATTGGAAAGGTTTTCCACAAATAATGACTCCATCAAATTTTATACAGGCTTCACACCCTCTGAATACATAAAGTTTTTTAATGAATTGGTTCAGCCAACTTCAGAAACAATTACTTATTGTTATGCCACAGGGGAGAAGAAAAGCCGCTCAGGGGCACGAAATATGCAAGTCAGATGAATTTTTATGTTCTGGTACGACTTAGATTAGGATTAGTTGAGCAGGACCTTGCTCACAGATTCCAAATCCATATATCCTCTGTCAGTAGAAAGATAACAAGTTGGTGTAATTATCTTTATATTACGTTGGGAAGTTAACCAATATGGCCCTCAAGGGAGAATATCCATTGTTGTATGCCTGAATGTTTTCTTACCCTTTATCCAACCACTAGGGTGATCATAAATTCATGTGCAAACCTCTATGTCACTCTTACTACAGTCTCAATTATACTCATCTTACAAAAGGAATACTTCCCTTAAAGGTTTAGTTGGGATAACTCCTTATGGAGCAGTTTCCTTTGTTTCTAGTTTGTATACTGGTGCTATATCTGTAAATAAATCAGTAGGTGTAGTGGTATTTTGGATTTGCTTGAGGATGGAGATTCAATCATGGCAGACAAAGGTTTTGATGTTGAAGATTTGTTATTAGAAAAAGGAGTAGAGCTCAATATCCCTCCTTTCCTTGAGAGTCAAGCTCAGTCTTCATCAAAGAATGTACAGCAAACTAAAACAATTGCAAGTCTTTGTATTAATGTGAAAAGAGCAATTAAGAGAATCAAATAATATCATTTTTTTATTCTGACGTGCCACTGAATGCATTAGGTTCAATCAATCAGATGTACACAGTGGCATGTCTTCTCGCAAATTTTCAAGGCCCTTTGATTGATAACCCGAATAGGAGTCAACAGTAACTAGGCCAAGTTATTGTAGATGGGAAGTTTAACTAAACCATGAGAAGAGTTCCAAATCTAATCGCTAAAGAAGTAAGTGCTCATAAAGAAGTTTTAGGAAAAGAAATCGCACCATTCAAGACCAGCCAGGGCTAATTGGCACTGGACTTGATAATAATAAATGTCAGTTTTCTTCAAAGTGAACTCATTTGTAATGGCATCCTTGGTAAGATAACTAACATTAGCAAAGTCAATCTCCCCCTCCTTTACAATCTTTTTTTCTAATAAACCAAAAGGATTGTAGCCATTCTGAACTGCTTGAAGATCGTACACCTTGCGGTCTGGGCTGCAGCCAAGCCAGGGGCATTTAGGATGGATTATTAATCCAGATGGAAAATTTACTGAGCCATCCTTGGCTTTGTTAGCATTGGCCATTGCAACCTTTGGCTCTAATTCTATGCCTCGTCTCCTTGGTGCAGTTACAACATGTCAAGAGGGATTGAGTTGTTTAATTAAGTTCTCAAAGTCTTGTACCTGTCTTGCAACAAGAACAAACTTACTTGATGTAATTCTCATTCTGCGTGGCATGTGCCAAAGACTGTTTGCACTTTGTGTCACTGTTTTCTCTTGGATGTCACGAGATACCTCTTTAGTCAGACTTAGAGCATCTAAGGAAGATTGCTGTCTTTGTGTTGGAGCAGTTGAAACACTGTTGTCAAATCTGGTTTCAGCAGAGTCCAAAGGTAGTTCAAGGAACTTAGTACAACTAAAATCATTAATAATATAATCTTCAGAGGTTTTTGTTTCTCTAGTGGTATGCTGGCAAGCTTCTCTGCTCTTGGAAGAATACTCGCTATCAATGGTTTGATTCCAAAGTTATCAAAATTTTCTTTTGTCATTGTGCAGTAAACATCTGACGGAGAGTAAAGTGTACTCTTGATAAATTTGTTGTAATTAGCACCTACTTTCAGTTTCTTAACTAAGATGTCTTGAATCTCTTTTGGCTCAATTTTTTCTCTCTTGGTATACTCCATCGTTGTGGCATACTGGTGCATGTCAAAGCATCAGGAACTGACCGGTGACTGTTTGCAATAAGCCATATAGTAAAGAAGTCCCACCACGTGGGGACAGTATCCATCCACACTAGCTACACACGAACATCTCCCAGACGTTGAATAGTCAGCAAGATTAATCCTAGCTTCTGGATTGTGTGGGGGCTCACTCTCCTTCATTGAGCAGTAGCATTGGGCACTAATTACAGCAGCATCCAATTTATAAGTAAAAAAATAAGAACAGGAAAATTATAGGATTTAGTGAACTCGAGCCATTCAAGCAAAATCACCAACATAAACATGTTTTACCTTTTATGCCGTGTAAATATTCCGGCTCAGCAAAGAACTTATAAGCTTTTGCAGAGCTCTGGCACCCAGACTTATCCTTTGCATACTTCTCCACAAATGCAAAAGTTAAATCAGGCAGGGAACTTATCTCTTGTGCTGTCCTTCAGGATACTGAAATCAATGATGACGACCTGCAAACAACAATTACACAAGTTAAAAGTTTGAATTTCCTCCAAGGAAATGCCAGTAGTGAGTTCAGGAATTTACTTGACATGTGTGGCAATGTTGGAAATGTTGGCCCGTCACTTGTACCTAGACCCTCCCTGAGGGAAACTACATCCGGGCTCCCCAATTATTGTTGTTGTTGTAACACGAAGTGCTCGTGGTCAAGCTCGGGAATAAAGACTGTGTTCATTGAGCCCTCGATATTGTTTGAGTCGTCTGTACTGCCTGACATGGTGTCAGAAGTGGGATAGATCCGATAAATCGACAAGAGAAGCATTTACGGAGAGCAAACGTACATTTAGCGAATTCAACGACCGCAGCCGACTCGTCAAACAGCGATGGCGAACCTCAAGCGACCTGAATTGAAACTCGGCGGGAATATGTCAGAAAATTTCAAGAACTTCGAACTCAGATTCCACGACTACTGCATCCAAGCAGACTACCGAAACTTAGCGAAAAACCCCGAGACAGAAAGAGCAGATTACTACAAGAAACCGTTACTGGAAATATCAGCGCTCCGATCGGCCATGCCGGACGAAGCCTTGCAAGTGATCCGTTACACAATTGAACCCCAGATAGCAGCTGATGATCAGAAAAAACCATGGATCTGGATGGACAAATTACGACTTCATTACACTGGATCTATCGGAAGCTCCCTATTGGCGGACAGATTTAAATTCTGGAACACTCAGCAAAGCCCACACGAATCTGTTCAGGAATGGGAAGTTAAGGTCAGACAGGCGGGCAGCCTGTGCTCGTACAATGCACTGACCGACGAAATGTGCCGTGACAAATTCGTTTTTGGCTTGCACGATGGCACAATGAGAGCTGAGTTACTAAAAACGCATTTAAAGTCGGACGGAATGCCCAAGAACATGCAAGATGTCGTTGCCGACGCCAAGGCCCCTCGAGTCAGCCCAAAAAGCCAACAAACTCATAACAGACGCCACAAAAGGAATCGAGGAACAAGTTAATTGGATAAGCCACAAACAAATGAAACTAAAGCGGGAGCCTGGAACCTGCTTTTGGTGTGGAGACCGACGCGGACCTCACCCCTGGAAAACATGCCCTGCAAATGGCAAAACCTGCACTAAGTGTGGAATTAACGACCACTTCTCCAGAGTCTGTCTCGAGACAGGCGCCCCCCAACATGAACAACCAAGGAGAACTACCCAATGGCAAGCTCAGGGTAGGGGGCTAGGCCACAGAGCACCTCGCGGCCGGTCCCAACCAAAACCCCCTCGTGAACAAAACGTACATATGCTGCAGATGACAAATGACCAACACCCTGTGGAGTACTACACTGATGACTACCAAGAACAGTGCTACTCCCTGGAAACACGGCAAATACACAGTATCCACACAACCCACGCAAAGAAAAAATACTTTGTTACACTGCCCATGTCTGCAACAGGGAACAAATTCACCCCAGTGACATTCCAACACCGCCGCCACATGCAATACCTTGTCTGAAGATACCCTTTTCAGGCTGATGCCAAACATGAAGCTTAGAAAGTCACCCTACCTACTACACCCCTATGGCGACTCCCAGCCGCTGAAACCACTGGGGCAGATCGACCTTCTGTGCGAAAGAAACAAACGATACGAATCGCTCACATTCCAGATACTTCCTAGGGATGTCATGATGAACAAACCAGCCCTTCTCTCTGGCTCCGACTGCGAGGCACTGGGGCTCATCACCATCAGGGCACACGAAATATTCTCACTCACATCAGCAGTAAGAGACTCGTCAGGCAAGAGAGCCCCTACCTACCCAGCCAGCTCGCCACAAACCAATCCAGACCCAGGCAACCCAGCAGCTCAAGCCAACGGTACACTCAAGGGAGTAAAAGGCCACCACCCTGACCAACCCGACAGTGCCAACCCATACGGTGACCCAGCAACGCCCTCACCTTCTAAACCTATAATGATCCCTTCCAAACGACGCCTGGCCCCACCCGGGAACCTCACCAAGGAAGACATACTAACACAGTATCCTGAAAACTTCGAAGGCCTTGGCTGCCTGGGACCCCCAGTTCATTTCGAAGTAAAAGCTGACGTCTCACCAGTACAAATGCCAATACATCGAGTCCCTGTGGCAAAACGCATGAAAGAAAAGGAAGCCCTTGACAGATACACCGCAGCTGGTATCATAAAGAAAGTAGAGGAACCCACCTCGTGGTGCTCCAATGAAGTCATTAAAGAGACACCAAAGAAGACAAGAATCTGCATTGACCCCAGTCAAACAGTCAATAAAGGAATTCTCAGACCAGTGTATCAAATGCCAACACTGTCTGAACAGCTCCATAAACTCTGCCATGCCAAATGTTTCTCACTTGTTGATGTCAGAGAAGGCTTCCTACACGTACCACTTAATGAAGAATCGTCACTGATGACGACAATGCACACGTCTTATGGGAGATACCGATGGCTCCGCCTCCCATTTGGCATATCAAGCGCTCCTGAGGAATTTCAAAAGCGCCTCATGTCAGCTCTAGAGGGTCTTGATGGAGTATTATGCATCGCCGATGATATACTTGTGTTCGGAGAAGGAACAACCTACCAAGAAGCTGAGAAAGACCACGACCGCCGTCTTGTCGCACTTATGGAGCGCTGCTCCAAAAAGAACATAAAACTAAACCAGAGCAAACTGCAGTTCAAGCTACAACAAGTCAAATTCATGGGCAACGTCATAACTGATCGAGGAATGCAAGCAGACCCAGACAAGATAGCAGCAATCTCAGCAAAGGCCCCACCCCGAAACAAAGCAGGTGTTCAGCGATTCGTGGGAATGGCCAACTATCTCTCACCCTATTGTCCAAACCTCAGCACCATCATCCGGCCTCTCACCCAACTCACCAAGTCAGATATCCCCTTTATGTGGGCACAAGCACAAGATGACGCATTTAACAAAGCCAAACACCTCATCTCCACGGCACCAGTGCTCCAATACTATGACCTCAGTAAACCGGTCACACTTCAAGTCGACGCTAGTGAAGAAGGCGTGGGCGGTGCCCTCCTTCAACCCAATAGTGAAGGACGCCTCCAACCCGTAGCATACACATCAAACAGCCTCAACGCAACAGAACAACGATACTCCCAAATCGAAAAAGAGTGCTTGGCCATTTGTAACGCATTTGGAAAATTTGACCACTGGCTCTATGGCAAATCAGATATCGAAGTTCACACCGACCACCAGCCACTTGAGACCATCTGCAAAAACCTCTGCACAAAGCCCCAGCTCGGCTACAGAAAATGCTAATGAGACTGCAGAGATACCGCTTCACCATCCAATACAAGAAAGGAACCTCACTCTACCTGGCAGACACTCTCTCAAGAGCAGCACTACCTACCCCAGTACATGCCAGGGTCACAGGCTTTGAAGTATTCAGGACTGAACTCACAGAGGAATCCGATACCCACAACCTCCGCCTCACAGAAACCACCGAATCTCGCCTACGCGACGAGACCAAAAAAAGGATGAACACCTCTCCAAGTTAATGGCCACAATCGCCCAAGGCTGGCCGGATGACAGAAAGCAGCTACCACAACCACTACGAGCATACTGGACCTACAGAGACGAGCTAACCACTGACAATGGCCTCATCTACAAAAAGGCGCCCAAGTTATGATACCGCAGTCCATGCAAGCTGAGATGCTGCTGAAAATCCATGCAAACCACTTTGGTCCTGAATCAAATGTACGCATGGCACGAGACGTACTATTCTGGCCCGGGATGAGACAAGCAGTGTTTGATATGTGCAACAACTGCAGTACCTGCGCACAGTATGGATCAAAGTCAACAAAGGAACCTATGCGATCACTTCCGATTCCAACACTACCATGGCAGATCATCAGCCAAGACATCTTCCAGTACAGACAGAAAGCCTACCTTGTAACAGTGTGCCATTTTTCTGACTGGATCGAAGTGGATGAACTTGACGACACTTTGGCAACATCAGTCATTAACAAAACCAAAGCTCATTTCGCCAGGTTTGGCGTTCCACGTATCTGCCACACAGACAACGGACCACAATTCACCAGTAAGGATTACATGGACTTTGCCTCTCAGTACGGGTTCAAACATACCACCTCAAGTCCCTATCACTCCCAGGGCAACGGCCGAGCCGAGGCAGCAGTGAAAGTATCGAAGTCTATGCTAAAGAAATCAGATGACTTCCAAATCGCCTTGCTCAATTACAGAAACACACCACCAAAAGACCACACCTACTCTCCTGCCCAACGCATGGTGAGCCGCCGGACACGAACGACGCTCCCAACAGCTGACCACCTTCTCGAGCCCATGTCAATCAACCGTGACACTGTATCAGCAGAACTCAAGGCCAAACGCAACACCAGTAAAGCTCACTATGACAAGACTGCGTGCCCAGAGCAGAATAGCATCAACATTGGTGAATTTGTGTATGCACGACCACCGACAAGCAAACCAGGCAACCCTTGGGCATATGGCCGTATCACCGGACAACGCCACTCAAGATCTTACACCATACAAACGCCCCACAGTACCATTCGACGAAATCGGATACACATCAGGCATGCAGTACCTCCTCCTCCCCAAACACCACCGTGCACCCCACCCACGCTCACGCCTAGACCAGGCCACAGCCTTGCAAATCACTACAATCGTCTAGGATCAGAGCTGAATATGCCCACTAATCAGCCTACACAGCAACCACCTCCCTCATTGGACAAAAGTAACAGCGGCCCAGTTCTCGACACCCCTTCCCCTCCACAACCACAAGAACCAAGCACACCAGCCACGGGCCCAAGTGAGCTGCCTATCGACACACCCCTTGCTACAATTCAAGAACAGCCAAGGGATCACCAACCCGAAATGAGAACACGCACAAGACTCATCAAACCACCAACTCGGTTCAAAGACTTTGAACTCAAGTAATGCCTGCCATAAACGTTCGCGCTGCATAACAGCACGGTTGCAGAACTTTCCATGATAACAGTCCGAACAGAACCTTATATAAGGCTACACCTGCCTACTTTACTCTGTTCTATTTACTATTAATTTTTTTTTTTTTTTTTTTTTTTTTTTTTCAAGGGGGATGTTGGCCCGTCACTTGTACCTAGACCCTCCCTGAGGGAAACTACATCCGGGCTCCCCAATTATTGTTGTTGTTGTAACACGAAGTGCTCGTGGTCAAGCTCGGGAATAAAGACTGTGTTCATTGAGCCCTCGATATTGTTTGAGTCGTCTGTACTGCCTGACAGAAATGGTTATTGTTGACCAAAATGAAGCTAAGCTTGGCTTGAAAGTTGAATGAATTGCACACACTCACCTTGGCCAGTTCAAGCTCTTTCAAGTTGTAGATATTTGAGTGGGAAAACATTATTGAGACCAGAAACATGAATTTCTCTGTTAAAATATGTAAAATGGATTGAAATGTTGTTTATTGGACTTCAAGTTATTCCATCAGTATGATCAATTTTTTTCTACATTACTATTCTTTGCTTGTGTCGTTGGTACGAGTTCTTTACCCTAAATTTTATTCATTTGGTTTTATTGTTTATCTCGTACTGTGCCATCATTTTCTTTAAAGTTTTATGTTATCTTTAACATAAAACTGTATAATGGTTGTAAATGTCTTTTGTTGTCCCTAATTTTTTTCTTGTCTGCCGATTTCTTTATTTATAATTGTAGTAACTTCCTATTTGTTATGTTATTTCCCTACCAATTCAAATGTTCATTTTGTTCCGATTGCTGCCTTTGCTTCGATACTTCTGAATGAAAAATTATCTTTTTGAGGCATTAATGTATGTGTCGATGCTGTTTCCTCCAAGAAAAGCATCATCATTCACAGAGCTGTCAAATGATGGAGTCAGGTCAAATGAATACGACATCTGAAGTAATTAGGAAAGGACAAGTGAGTAATGTGCAAACTATGGCAGATGACGTAGCGGACTGGTCCAACAGAAATAGAGTCAAACTAAATACTGACAAATGGAACTTCGCATTTCTTTTGCTCCAGTTAGTCATGAATTCCAAGTGACCTATCTTGGAACGCGTATGTCACGGGAGTTAAAAAAAAGGCAGCTAAGAGGCTCTATTTTCTCATCCAGCTTAAAAGTGCCTGCATTTCTCAGAAAGATCTTTGTCCTTCTTACATCCCATGTGGGGGGTAGCTATTGTGCGAGCCTGCGAGCCTATGTATTTTCCGCTGGTATGAATTCGATACAGTTCGTTAGCACTTTAAGTTTTTTCGTTTTTGTTGGAACACGCCGTTAGGACGTGTCTCCAGGGGTTTTTGTGATTGGTTGATGCGTAGTATTTTAGGCTTCAAAGAGTTGACAGATTCCTCTCGCTCGCGCTCTCCATCCTGGCGTTTACTTCTTTTGATGCTAGGATACTGCTATGAATTCTACAGAAAAAAAGTGGTTCCGTTCCTTCTGTCGTTGAAGCCGATGTTGTTTCGCAGAACCCTTCTTCAAATTCATAGTTGGTGGATGAGGTTTGCTCTCTTTTTAAAGGCTACTTGACCTCTCAATTGGAAGAGAAAGGGAAGCAGTTTGAGCGAAGCTCTAAGTCCGATAAAGAAGCTGCAGACATTAAGTTCAAAGGTAACCGAAAGCAGTTTGAGTTGAATTCGCAGCTGGACAACATATTAACACAAATCGACGAGAGTGCTAGTAGCCCGGCTGATGTTCACAAGACCTCTACTTATTTGTACTTTGTGCAGTCCTGGGTCCTTTTGGTTGGACTGCCTGGGCATCTAACCATCAATTTGTTGTATTTGTTCATCTATTTATTTAAGAGGAAAATAATTTACGTTCGTTTGAGCGTAGCGAATTAGAACGTAAGAGCCTTTTTCAACGAGCCAGAGCCATTTTTTGCGAGCCCCGAAAGTTCCCGCCAAAAACATCCAAATATGGACATAATGCCTTTTTATGGTCTTAATTAAATGCGGTCTACATGTGTTCTGCAAAGTGCAAACATGGCGGAATTTTCTCACCTGGATGGTAAGTTTTCTTTTCATTTAATTTGTTCCACTTAGTGTTTTTTTTTATTAAAATTACGCAGATGTTTAAGTACTAATACTGTTTACACATTTTGCTTTGAAAATATTAGGTTTGGGACGCTTTAATCTCAACGACAGCAAGGTAAGTTTTTGTCTGACTTGTGATGAATTGTGATTTATTTCGATCCTTCCCATTTTTTGCCTCACTCAGTGCGACAGTTATTCGTAAGCTTGGTATTTCATCGCTTACATTGGTAGAATTCACTATTTCACACGATTAGTTGGAAACAAAAATGAAATGGTAGCATGCCAAGTAGCTTCTTACTGTCTGGTTTCGTTGCCGCTGAATTAAATCACTTTTGGAGAATTAAAAAGTCCAGAAGTTTTTAAAGTTATCTTTCACTTAGGAATTGTTTTTCATTGACTTAAGAGAAAGCCCCCTTAAGAAAGGCATTAGTAAGGTAAGTCATTTCTAATATTTAAGTAATTCTAAATTAGGTATTATGATCCCTATGTAGGCATTTGTATAGGAAAGATATGTAAAATTTGCACTGGCTCCCATACCTCTAAAACCTCATTCTTTTTGGTGTAATAATTGCTTCTTATAATCATTTAATTTTTCTGACATCTTCAATGTCTGCAAACATGAACATTATCAAGGTGACCTAGCCTTTGGTTTTTGCTTACTTTTAAAATCTAATTAAATTGTATTTATTTTATGACAATTTATTTTTGTTATTACACTCTAAAATTCACAGACTGAATCCCTTTGGGAGTGCAGAAGGTGCACACTCATAAATGTGGAATTATCTGATGTTTGCATTCTTTGTGGGTCATCAAAGCCACACAATGCACCCATTAAGATTGATATCAGTGACTCACCTCAAAGTCCACACAGAAAGAGGACACAAAGGTATATGTGACAAATGATTTCAATATAGTTAATTCTAGTTAGTTTTCAGTGCTCAAAATATATTTGAGGTAATGAAATCTCTTTTGGGGAATTTGTAACAGTCATGCTCCAGCATGTCCTATGTTTCTCCCACTATAGAAATGAAGATTCCAAGCCAATTTCTTCAGAAATCAGAAATCTTTCATTTGAAATGTCTTTTGAGGAACCTAGTGCATCATCGATGTACATTTCTAGGTAAGTAATTATGTTTCATATGTCTGTAAAGTTAAGCTAGTTCATAGTTTAATTATTAGCTAAATCATTTAGCTTCAGGATTCTAGTATCTTTTGATTACATGTCAAACTGATGATAATAATAATTGTTAGAGCAAAATACTTAAATTATTTGCAGTGAGGATAATGCAAAATTGATGCAATGTGTGTGGCAGACCGGTACAGAACAGAATCCCAGTCTGACGTCATTTTAATATTTTACTTCATTAACATACAAATTTACCCAGAAATGACCCAATTGATGGAGAAAAAAAAGTTGAAAAAAAAGTTGACAGAGGACTTGAAATATATATAGCTCCATGCATGTGATATTAAATTCCTTCTAGAAATTTCAGCCATCAGAACAAAAAGGAAAAACTCTGTGTTCCACAAGTGTTAGCCTACATATTGCTGGCAAAATTTTAAATTTTTGACAATACATACTGGTATTATTGAGCATAGCTACAACGTTTGCTAATATTGATATGAACCTGTAATCAATGCCTTGCCTTTTAGGTCTTCGGCGCTACAAGAAAAATTTCTGAGAAAAGACGCCAGATGTTAAAGTCGACAGCCTCCCCTTTGACATTAATAGAGAAGCTGTTTATCAAGTCCCTTACCAGAAGGAGAAGAGGATGAAGGCTGTTGCGTCCTTGGGATAGGGACATGCCAACAAAGTGGAAAGGAGCAGGAAAGGGCTCAGTACGCGCTCAGCACTGTAAAGGATCCTACGAGTGCGAAAAAGCCAATAAATTCCAGTTTGAGAAATACACGGGTGGCGACGTGGTGTGTAAAGGTTGTGGAAGATGCTCCATCTTTGTTTCTTGTTTAGCTCAAAAGTAGATGGAATTCCTGCCCCACGTATGTGAGGTTCGTGTCTACCATGTTGGTATGCATACTTGCCAAGTGAAAAGAAAAGTTCCCCTTCCCTCCGTTGTGGAACAGTCTCTTCGTAGGAACCCAAATTTGAAACCATCCAAAGTAGTGAGGCAGTCGATTTTGGAAGGCCTGAAGACAGACATTGTGGACTGGGATGGCCTGGAGAAAACAACCGACTCTCTTCTCGACACAAAGAAGATTTCAAACCTGAAAGCTAAAATCAACAAGGAGAACAACCCAGCTGGTCATAGCTTCGAGGCAGTGGCCCAACTTAAGCAAAAATCAGAAGAGAAAGATGAGTTCTTCATCTACAAAATGAATGATAGACATATGAACCCCGACAAGCCCTAGTTCGTATTCAAGACAAACAAGCTAAAGGTCAGTATTGCACTCAGTATGGGAGACGAAGAGCACTTCCTGTCAAATGAGTATTGTTACATTGATGGAAAATGGAATCGTTGCAAAGATTTCCCCACTGTCACCTTGAGTGTCTATCATCGAGTTTGATGCAAGCAAGTGCCTCTTTTCATAATGGAATGCGAGGGAGAAACAGCAGAGTGTTACACCAAATTTTTCTCTCTTGTCAACGAAGCAATCGAAAAAATCATTCCAGGTAGAATTTTTGATCCAGTTTCTGGGTTCATGGCCGATGAAGCTGGTGGACTTCAGGAAGGGCTAAGAAAAGTCCATGAAAATTCAGTCCTTGAGAAGTTGAAGACGTGTGAATTCCACTTCGTACAGTGCACAAACCGATAAAGAGTCATTTGCATAGTGAGTGTTCTTCACTCGTGTTACGCGAACACTTCTCCAAGCGCAAACCTCGAGTTCTTATAATGATGCTATTCAACAGCTAAAGGAATTTGTTGCTAAGAAACCCGCCAAAGATAAACGCGGCTTTCTTATTTCTTGGCTGGAATGGTGGGACGACCGTCGATCACACGTTTTTCCTGCTTTTGCTCGGAAGAATGCACTGATCCACTTCGAATGGAAAATGACAGGAGGAACACACCTATCTCTTGTAGATGCTGCAGTGGAAGACATCAAGGATAGCGTTATTCTGGAGAGGCAGTTCAGAGGTTACGAGGCTGGTAGTTTTCATGGAGGAACAGGTCCTAGTGTGTTTACCACTACATTACAGAGCTCTCATGCTCAGAAGAATCGCCCAGAAATGTATGTGAGGGATCTTATCGAAGGAGACGAACCCTCTGACTTGTCCTCCCTGGCGAACGCTTTAAGCACCTACCGGGTTGATCCTCTAAGCTTGCACCGAGCAACAAAACATAAGAAGAAGAAGACGAGGACGAGGACGAAGAACTTGAATAAGACGTCGAACTTGAGCGAATGTGAAGACAGCCTAGCGAGTACATCTGACGAAGGAGAAGAAGAAGAAGAAGAAGAAGAAGAAGAAGAAGAAGAAGAAGAAGAACAGGTACTTCAAAGCGATGTTGAGGACCTTTCCGCTGGAAAAAGAGGAGCCAAGCGCCGTGTGCGAAGCAGTCAGTTCAACATTACATTGAAATGAGCAACTCAGACCGACCGACACAGGATCGGATCAAGTTATTGTCTGTTTCAGAAGAAGGTAAATTGCTTCGCAAATACGAGGTATCAAGTGCACGTGATTGGCTTGGTTATGGGCCCTACACCGTATCAATTGGCACAACGCCGAGTTGCACTTGTGAAGATTTCATGAAGAGCCAAATGGTGAAGATCTGCAAGCACTTGATTTGGGTGTACGTAGTCGTTCTTAGAGTCAATGAAAAGGACGATACCCCTCAACAAGCAGCACTCACTGAGGAGGAAGTCCACTCCATTTTTCAACGCGCACCACCTCCATGTACTCAGCCAAAGCCCGCCTTAGGTAAGAAACACTTAGTCTCTAAGAGTAGCATAAACGATGGGCAGAGTAACGCTGAAAGAGTGATTAGAAATGACCTGCGGAGTAATCACCCACAAGTGAGGCGTCTGGAGCGGTTGAATCGATCCACCGGCTCCAAACCACAGTGTGCAGGGTGTAAGAAAGTGTCCTTTGATACTGGTGATATTCTGTTGGCGGTTGATGCTCTTTACGTTCCACGCAACAAGGAATTTTGTGTTCAGTGTACTTATAGATTCTGTGTCGACGCTCCGTGCTTCTCCAGTCTTAAAGAAATTATTGCTTTAACAGTGCAGTTGCCGTCCGCACATTATGCTAATTTGCGGCCTGTATAATCCTCCCAAGCAAGGTTTTCAAACTTAAAACCAGCAAGAAATTTAATAAGTTTTGATAACCGAGAACGCATCTTGCCGGTCGAGGAGCGACTCAGGAAGACATTGAAAGAGCATTCTCTATGGGGCTAACAATTGACCGAATGCAACCTCACACTGAATTCTGAAAGAGAACGAACTAGTTGTTTTTGTTGAATGACATGTTTTAACTCGTATCATCTAAGTTTCAAAAGGATCATCTTTTTATATCGAAATCATCCATAAAAGTTGTCAACGAACCTCTCGGCGATGAAGATATGTGAAATGAATGTATTACACAGCTACTTTGTAAATAGGTTGATATTTAAGCATTTATTGTGATGATATACAATTCATAATATGTATGTAGATTTCTGTAGTTTTTCAATTCAAAAGACATTATATCTAAGGGGGGAACCATTTTCGTTAAAATACGTATTTATTAGTTTCCGCCAGCTGCCCAGACGTTTTAGATAAAAGCCTTGACTAAGGACCGGCTGACATGCGCTACAAAGCATAAAAATCCTGACTTGCGAAGCGTCCGTTTCACAACATTCACTCGTCCAAATTGGGGATTTAAAACAAGATATAAAATCATCTTGCCTGAGTAGTTTTCGAGCAATCATTTTTTACTCTATTGTGCGTTTTGTTTAGTTATTACATACCTAGGGTGAATGACACTGTATTCAAGAAGTTGTGCACAGCGAGAGGTGTGCCCAATTCCTTCACATCTGGAATTAACACAGTTTAAACAATTGAGTTCACAGTTTCAGTTGTATTTGAAGTTTCATATTATAATACAACGTTCAGGTTAGGTTAACTGTATGCAACTACATGTTACACTTAAGTAAATAAAGTTCAAGTTAGGCTGGTTCTTTGGGTGGAGATGGCTTTTCATCCTATGCCAATCCGATTCTTTACTGTCGCTGTAAAGGATGGACAGTTCATGGTTTTTGTTATAACGCACTGCTCGCTCCTCGAGCAGGTAAGAGGTAGCGAAACCTGAAATCATGTTTTCTGATTGACTACCTGGCCGGAAGTATGGGGCTATCTTACCCACTTTGGATTGCTTGTTTTGTTCCCGCAAGGAAACATTCTTCAGTCAATGGGTGCTCTTTTAGCCATATTACGGCGAGTTTTCATTGAGAAGCGAAGTGCTACCATTATTTACATGTGTGACCATTGAAATGACAATGAGAAACATTCACAACTTTATTTATTCTTCGCAACATGTACAACAGTAATTAACGGTTTTTTGTCAAATGCTTTTTAGTACTTATCAATTCTAACAGTTTAGTTTGGATTACCCAAAATTGCATCACCAAAAATGCGAAGATGCCACCTTCGGAAACTCGTTGTTAGACTCGGTAATAGATTAGAACTTGTAAATGCGTGCGATCTCCCTGAGGATGTCATCGATATTTGTTGCATTTGTTTGGACCGAATACAATCGACTGAAAATCGAAGATGAAATTGACCTGAATGCGCACTGTGGGGCTCCTGAATGCTTACTGAAGGCTTCATGACCTTCATGAATTGCTTCCTCGACTACAGGTAATCATAACAGATAGGTAAAAACAACCAAAGACATCGAAAAGGCTGTAAACTTACCTGTTAAGATCTCTTTCCCTGAAACAGCACAGCGGGCCGAATGTGAGTTTCGTCTATTTTGAGACAAATGCTGATTGGATATTGATAGAAGGAGGTCGCTAAATGGTTGAATTCCTGGTTTTCCCAGGAGCAGTCCGATGACTGGGCCGCAATATGGATATTTCTAGTAGGCCGTTTCTTCACCCGAATCATCGATCCAGTGTACCAAAAATTCTTAGATGCTGAAAAAAATTCCTGCTGCTTACCCTGATGCTCTGGCAGCGATAAATCCTCTCAGGTTGTAAATGAGCGCATCAGTGCGTGAATAGGGTATAAAGCACTTTCCATGCTATAGTTTGTTTATTTAAAAAAATTTTTCAGATTTTCACCTTCAAATGCTTTCTAGAGAGGAGCCAAAGACTGTCATAATAAAGAAAGGAGAGAAAATGGAAAGATATTGAAAAAAAACTGGCTCGCAAGAAGAGGCTCGAGGCTCGCAAAAAACGGCTCCGGCTCGCAGGCTCGCACATTAGTTTAACCCTCACATGTGTGCGCTCCATTATCGATTATGCTGTACCTGTGTTTCATTATGCTCTGCCTGCCTACTTAATGCAAGAACTAGAGTGTGTTCAGAAAAGGGCAATGTGAATCACCTGCCCTAGCATGGAATATCAGCACGCCCTTGTGCTAGCGAACCTATCGTCTGTAGCGGAGCATCACAGTGACATTTGCAAGAGTATGTTAGAAAGTATTTTCAATGACAGTGGCCATAAACTCAGGAAATTACTGGCCCCCCACATGAGAGCCAATACAATCTTAGGTACGCGTGATCCCTCAGCATACTGCACTGTAAACAAACAGATTTAAGAATAGTTTTATTATGGCTTGATGCGCCCTAGTGAATACCGTTTAAATTTTTAGACTTTTAACAATATGATTTCAACAAGATGTTTAAAGTTTTTAAATGTTCTGGATATTACTATCATTAAGTATTATTCAATTTGTAAGTTTCTACATTCAATTGGAATTTTAGTGAAAATACTTAATTCAGCTCTATGAGCTGTGATGTATTTCAATAAAGAATCTATCTATCTATATCTATCCGTCTATCAAAAAAAGCTGCAGAAAGTGCAACGTGCCACATCAATGCATGTCATGAGCATTACAACTTCTGATACACAAGGAAAGTAAACATTCCTTAATTTGAAAGAAGTTTCAGTGTTATTTCTTTTTTACTTCAGTTAACTGGCGTAGACGAATTTACTAGCCGCAGCTGACCTCAGTTTCATACTACCTATCCAAGGCTTTTACTTGGAACTGAATTGTTGATATAAGGGTATTTTCCTATTTATTCAACAGGTACAAACTAGTATTCAGAAGCGCGCCTTGCGCATTATCTTTCCTTATGCAAGCTACAACAGCGCGCTCAAAGAGGCAGGCATCCCCTCTCTTTATGACAGGCGAGCGTCTCTATCGTCTGATCTTTTTAACGACATTGTTCTTGACATTAATCACAAGCTCGCAGGTCTGCTCCCACCTACAGCTGAGCACCATAGGCAGCTGCGCAGCAATAGAAAGTTTTACGTGCCAGTGTGCAAGACTGATCGTCTTAAAAAATCTTTTATTGTTAGACATAGCCTAAGTATGTAAATGAATTTGTTTAAGTATGTATATTTTCCTAACACAAGGTTATCCTATGTGAAATGTTTTAATTAGATTGTACATTTCTATTATTATGGTTTTTGAAATCCATTTTAATTATAACTTGTATATTATACACATCATTCAGTCTTCGGACTGCGAGGTATTTCTTTTTAATAAACGATTTAACTGAAATTTAACTTTAACTGGAATTCTCTCAAATATTCAGTTTGCGCTGAAGTTCCTTCCTATGACCTTCTACATGGCACCACAGTTACCGCGATTCGAGCCTGGTCTAACTACCATCTTAGGCCCGCTTCAAAACAAACAAAAGAAGTCAACTAGTCATCGCCACTGACAGTTTTCCATGAGCAGAGTTTGATATTATTCAAATTCTACTGCCTCCTTTGCTTTCAACCTCATCCTTCTTGCTGGTGATATGGAAGTAAATCCTGGAATGTCAGTCAATGGAAACGGCGCTAGAAAGCCACAAAAAGATATAAAGATCGCACACCTGAATGCTCGATCTATAAAAAATAGAGATCATTACACCTTAACTGAAACCCTTGTGGCAGAAAATGATTTTGACATCTTCACCATTTCTGAAACCTGCTTAAACAACTCCATTACAGATTAAGAGGTGGAAATTCTAATTAAAATGTATATCGCCTTGATCGCCATGAAAAGACTCCCAGTGGCGTTTGTGCATATGTTAGAGAATGTTACAAGACTAAACATTTACAAGACCTGTCTGTTTTGCACTTCGCCAACAGATGTTTTTTAAACAAGCATTTTTTGTTTATTTAAGATACAGCTTTTTTTTTGTTTACCTAAGATATGGGCTGTCAAGATTAGTTCATACTAATATGATATAGGCGATCCTCACGTGTTTTTTTTGCTTCCAGTTGACTAGCTAGCGCGTGTGCAAGAGAAAACTTGCTGAATAAACTAGTTCAAAAAATTGGTAGAGCCTGAGGACTTTATTTTCCTGGTGAATCTTCAAAACCAGCATTACCAGAACCCATGGTGCAAAACAGTCAAAATTCTACGCATCACGAAGATACACACTAAAGGTCAACACATCACCCAGAAGGATGTCAAAGCAGTAGGGAAACAAGTACAACTGACCGCCTCAAGGAGCAACCAACCGCCTTTAAAGACCTGCACATCATCAAAGGCAAGACTTCTCAGACAAAGGTAGAAACTTTCTGATTCACTTTATTTCTTGATTTATGATCATTCGAGCTTCTGAATACTGCCTTGTTTTGTTCCAACATTGAAAAGAGAAACGCCATATGCTAAATACTTTGCACAAAAACGAGGCTAAGGAAGTTCTGATAGCCACAAGAATTTAATCAAAACGAGATGCCACCCAAAGTGGACATCAAGATTCTCTCTGGGAAAAGAGATAACGCTAAACATGCACTTTATGAATTATTTGACAAATTCGAAGCACTTTACTCAGTGAAACCTGAACTAAACTTATTATCAACCCTATTTAAGGAGATTGAGTCAAAGTACAGGGGGATTAAGAAGCAAATAGAAACCATTGCTGACTGATTCGTTGAAGAGGATGTGACTTCAGAAGATGAATGAATTGCAAATAATCTGAAATCTGGAGATGAAATTAAACAAAGATATTTGGAAACTTTACAAAAATACGCAAGCTATGAAAAGTTAGCACCCCCAATTACAAGTTACCACCAATAGCACCACAGTTCTTGGAGAAGTGGCTAGTACAGTAAAACAAATGGCACAAAAAATGGCTGCCAAACCCAAAGTAAGTGGCTCAGAAAGGTTATCGGTTCCATCACGGGACGGATCCCTAAAAACTTACATCACTTGGAAAAAAAGAGTTCAACCATTGGAAGAGCAAATACAAACAAGACAAGGATGAGGTACTCCAATGCTTTCGTGGGGCATTACAGAGAGGATCTTGGCGGGCAGAGCAGGTGAAGACTTGCAAAGACATTGACAGAGCATGGGAAATTCTTGATATTGAATTCGTGGACAGAAGGAAGCTGGTGGATACGCTCCTAGCTGAGGTCAATAATTATGGTGTTGTAAGAACCGACCCCAAGAGTCTGGCCCATTATGCAACCTCGATATCGGTGTTTGTGAGCGACATGGAGGACAATGCATGCCCAGTTCAAGAAGCATCTGAAGCTCCCTTCTTTATGTCAAGGCTCCAGTCCAACCTAGATCCGAGAGATAATGCGGAATTCAGCAGAGAAATGTAATGTCAAAAGAAAAAAGAAAAGGTTACAAATTTAGTTACTTGGCTCCACCAAGAAGAATCTCTCAGATCCAGAGGTAAGAGGAAGATGGAAAGTGACAGGAGACGAGACCCGCCTGTTCAGAGGAAATCGGATCAGCATCCCAGTGACATCAGTTTGGCTGATGATGAAACATGCCCCCTCGGCTGTAATTCGAAACATCTTGCTTCCTGTCCAGTCTATCAAAAATCGTCTCTTAAACAAAGATAGGATATCGTGAAGCAGAATAGATGCCTAAGAGGGTCACATCACATGATGACGGCAAAAAGGCTCATAGTACATCCTGTGATAAATGCAATAAGAATCATCACCGTTCTCTGCACAGCTAAGGGAAAAGCAAACCGTTGGAATCAAACTTGAGGCCCGTTGCACCTGTCTTCATAACTCAAGTTACCCCACCTGTGGCTGAGAACCACAGCATCCAAGAAAGCAATAATGTGAAGATCGGTGATGTCCAAAACGTTCTAGGAATCTGCTCAGCGCAGAAAATCAAAATTAGAGACAGTGATGGAAACTTCAATGAGATACCTGCTATGTTAGACACTGGCTCAAACACAAGTCTTCTTTTGAAAAGGGTCGAAAAACAGCTGGGGTTGTCCAGTCCTAAGACACACCTGACAATGAACTTAGCTGGAGGACAGAAGGCAGAAGTTTCAGAAATGCTAGAGATTGAGATCGCATCACCCACCAATGAAGATATTGTGAAGAATCTTCAAGTACACATGGTTTGTAAGCCCCATAGCAATACCAAGAATATACCACGCAAATCTATCGACAGTTACACCCATCTCAAGTCAGTAGCAGATAAACTACATTTTTCTGGCGGTGCCGTTGACTTCCTTGTTGAGACTGACCTTGTTGATGCCTTTATTGACATCCATTCACTTAGTGGGGATCCTAGAGAACCTGTTGCAAAGCGAAATTGTTTCGGATGGTATGTTCTGAGGCAAGTCGATTCAGGTTCAAACAACATGTCTGTAATCAGATCAGTATACGTCAATACATTAAGTGCCGTAGTAGACATCAAGAAACTAGGGTCAGTTCCAGATCAAAGCGTGGCACTCGAACAGCCTGGAAGCTGACCAAATTAGAGGTGAAGAACGCTTTACAGATTTGCTTGGGCACTGATGGGACAAACATGAAGACACCTTCAGCCTGAAGAAATATTCATTTGTCAGGGTGAACAAAGACTTCATAAAGAGAAGCTGCCTTGCCCTCCTAGCCCAAGAGTGGGACCCTATCAGCTTTGTAGCAACTGTGACACTTAAGTTCCAAATTGACCTGCAAGAGCTGTGGAATGCTGGCTACAGTTGGGACGACGTTCTTGCAGAGGTAACAGCAAAAACGGAAGAGGAATGAAGAAGCTTTAAGTCAACTTCTAACCTTCAAGTCTGACTGCAAACTCAAGCCATCAGGAGCGACTAGTTCACCTCAAGTACATGGTTTTGCAGACAGAGGAGAACTTGGATATGGTGCTAGCATTTTCCTCCGCTGGAAGTTACATAATGAAAGCTATCGATGCGTCCCGGTGATCATCAAACCCTCTTGAACTCTTGGAGTGCTCACATGGATTTACAACACGTGCAAAGAGGCTCTGAGCTTTGTTGACTTTAAAGATTACAACAAGACCTTCTGGACAGACTCTCAAACAGTTCTATTGTGGATCAAGACTCCACCTAGAGAATTCTTTACTTTACTTTACTTTATTGAAATTTGCTGCACGTACAGAATAGTATTGGCAACTGGAGAAGAAAAAAGGACGCTGTCCCAATTGATATTCACCCCCAATAAATATTAACCACCCATCCCACCCCAAGGGAGGACATCCACCACACAGTAATCTCGTGTGTAGGAAATTAACGTCTCCTACCCCAACCCTGCAGGAGACGGGGCCTACAGTTCTACATCCTATCCGAGAAGACAAAGCAATGTGAGTGAAGCGTCTTGCTTAAGGACACAACATCATGCCCCAGCCGGGACTTGAACCTGGGCTGTCCGACCCAGAGTCCAGCACACTGACTAATGGACTACTCACACCTCAGACCATTTGTTTCAGTTCAAGTGGCAGAAATCCAGGAAACAGTGGGATCAGAGAAATTCTGCTACACCAAATCTAACTATGTTCCAGCAGACGCCCTCACCAGAAGAATTGAGCCAGGGGACCTTGAGAGCTGGCTGTCAAGACTGTCGTTTCTTAGGTTGCCAGAAACGGAGTGGCCTCCATTCCAAGATGATGATCAGAGACCTCACAAGGAGCGAGAAGATGCTTTAAAAGAAATCAAGACTACCCCAAAACAAGTATATAAGGGGGAAGATGAAACCAAAGAGGTTCACGCCACATCTGCCTCAGAAGGAAAGGAAGTCAACTACATCTTTTCCCATCTGTTGGAGAGATGCTCCACTTTCACAAAGGTCTGCAGAACCCTGGCATACATGTATTGTTTTGTTGAACGTATAAGGCACAAGGATGTACCAAATGGTTCCCTGACAATCCAGGAGCTCGTGCACTCAGAATTACAGCTCTTAAAGTGGAGCCAGAGGCACATAAGTTCACAGAGCCTTGACAAGAAGTTGATCACCAATATGGATGAGGAGGGGCTAATCAGAGCCCATGGCCACCTAAAAAATGCCAGAAACCTCCCATGAAACATGAGAAACCCTGTAGTGTTACCCAGAGACCATCAGCTGACAATCCTCCTCTTATGTCACCTGCACCACAAACAAGGACACTGTGGTTACAAGAGTCTGATGCAAGACGGAAGTACTGGATCATCAGGCTCAGGAAAATAGCTAAGGCTGTCAGAAGTAGTTGTGTCCTCTGCGGAAACTGTGCAGAAAACCCCTCAATCATCTTCACCTGCACGACCACTGGGGCAGTTCACCTCACGCTCGTAACAGACAAGTCATCTGAAGCCTTCTTGAAGCTGGTCTGACTGTGGCTCAAACATCGTTGAAGCACAGGAATACCCGAGAGAGGTCATGCAGGACTAGGAAATTCCCAAGATACAAAGTGCCATTTCCGAAGAATTTGCCTGCGATTTCGAGTGGCTTTGGAACACTCCTCATGCAAACCACCAGAATGCGGTTGTAGAGTCACTTATCAAACCCGTAAGACAAGCTCTCAACAGTGTGTGCAAGAACCAAGCGTTTACTGAAGAACAATGGAGGACATTTATAACTGAAATTACCCACATGGTCAACAGCCAGCCCCTCTATCCAAGTCTATCCAAGTTCCGAGGACATCTGGGAAGAACTTCCCATTACGCCCAATGATCTCCTTGATTGGACGACACAACACTCCTCCCCAGCTTGAGCTGGAAGCCAGAGTCAGTCAGAAACATCTGATGAGAAGTGTCCAAAACAGAGTAGGCAAACTCTGGATATGTTGGATGAAATACTTTGCTCTGACACTATTGCCGCGAAACAAGTGGTTCCAGACAAGAGAGAACGTCAAAATTGGTGATTTAGTTCTTGAGCTCAACCCAAACTGCAAACGTTCACAGTGGGAGCTGGTGCTGATTACCGATGCCTTCCCAGGAAAAGACGGGTTGGTGAGAAAGGTGCGAATCAAGACAAAAAATGGCAAGTAAGACCAGCCAATCCATAAGCTTTGTGTCATTGCTACAAGAGAAGAACTTAGCAGAAAGGAACAATAAAAGTACATGTAGAGTGCTGAACTGTTCATAGTTGCGTTAAGCTCTGTGCTTGTTTATCGTTGCTCAGTTCAGGCTCAAATTTCCGCACTGGGGCTGAGTGTTTTGCACTTCACCAACGGATGTTTTTTAATCAAGCATTTTTTGTTTATTTAAGATACAGCATTTTTTTTGGTTAGCTTTTTTTGTCATGTCTGTTTTTGTTACACCTGATATAGGCGATCCTCATGTGTATTTTTTTGGCTTTCGGTTGACTAGCTAGCAAGTGTGCAAGAGAAAACTTGCTGAATAAAATAGTTCAAAAAATTGGTAGACCCTAAGGACTTTATTTTCCTGGTGAATCTTCAAAACCAGTAGTACCCAAACCTGTGGTGCGACACGTTGTCTTTCATTTCATCCATGGGCTTTCACCAGCTGTGGCTTCAAGTACAGGTTGGTTGCTGCAAGTTGATCGTTATTTGAACAGTGTATTGACTACCTCACTCTGATTTAAATCGTTTTGATGCTGAGTTCAGCGATGCTCTTATCTCGGCATTATCACTAAGCCCCGATGTCTACGTCCCAAGAGACCTAAATTGTAACTTGCCCCCAAGATCATAGATCTCTGGTGGTCACAAATTTTTGTTCAATTTTCAATCTGACCCAAGTAATTAACAGCCTACAAGGATAACAGAGACATCAGAGACTTTAATCAACGTTATCCTCGCTTCAAGAACAAGTCTCATAAGAGAAGCAAAGGTTGTACCTGTTCCATTTAGCCATCACAATCTGGTCTTCATTTCGCTGGGGTTAAAGAAAAAGCGTTCCAGGCCAGTTTACGTTACTAATAAAAGTTATAAAAATTTCGACTCTGACTCCTTTCTGGACAATTTGAATTGCGCTCCATGGTCAGTTAGCGATTGTTTTGAGGACATAGACAATAAGCTAAATGCGTTCAACCTATTGTTCAACCCACTCCTAGACTACCATGTGCCTACTAAGAAAATTAAATTGCGAAGCCAACCAAACCCATGTGTCACCGATGAGATCTGCTCCTTAATTAGATCTAAAGATTACTGGAGAAAGATCGCAAGGAAGTCTTTCGATCCTCTGGACTGGGCTGCCTACAAGAATTTTAAGCGGGAAGGTAACTGTGAATTGAGATTAGCTGAATGGAAAGATGTTGAAAACCAGATTAGAAACAATCCCAATAAACCAAGGTGCATCTGGAGAACGATACGATCATGTCTTCCCAGAAAATCTGTGAAGAAAAAGTCTTAGTGATAGTGATGATGCAGTGGCCAAAGAGTTTAATGAATACTTGAACTCTATGGGTCATAACACAGTTGAAGAAATTTATTTTATATGCAAATACTATCTTGATAGTTTATTGATAATTTTTGAGTATTTTTTAATTGTCTTAAATCAATTTGTAATGTCATTAATTTTTTAATCAAATTGCGTGGGAAGTCACTGCCGTGGCTAACACCCAAAATAAAGACCCTGATGCAAGAGAGAGAATACTACCACAAAAAGGCCAGCAAAACAAATAACAAGGTTCACTGAAGTGGATGCAAATGGTTATGTAATGCAGTAAACCTCTCAACCCCATAAAGAGAAAAACAAGTGTTATTCCACTTGCCTCTCTGATGAACAGGACTTGAAAGAAATGTTAAAAACAGTCAATCAGATCCAGCCAAAGAAATCAAAAACAACAAACCAAACTGAGAACCTATCAGCAACCAACTTAAATTAGTTCTTCACAACCATTGCTAGTAGTTTATGTGGGCATTTTTTCCTCCATAAATTAGAGCATTATGGAGTATGAGGCCCAAGCTATGACTGTTTCCAGTACTATATCTGCACCTGCTAACAGAGAGTAAAATTTGGGAAGGAATTATCATTTAGCCCTCCCCTGGATTATGGTGTACCTCAGGGTTCACTATTAGGCCCCGTACTCTCTATGCTACTTATTAACGACCTTCCACTGTGCTTATTGCAATCCAACATCGTGTATGCGGATGATACCATCATAAATACCACTGAATCAGAGTGAGACTGCATCGTGACGGAAATCCAAGAAGACCTCAAAAGAGTTGAACAGTGGGTGAAAAACAGCAACCCTGTTCTTTATCATGACGACCAAATGTATGCTGTTTGGTACTGAACAGAAACTTGAGAAAGCCTCATTCAAGATCCAGCTTCATGGAAGTGACATTGAAAGGGTGAGCAATTTTTGCTTCTTAGGGTTCACCCTTGACAAACACCTCTCGTAGAAAGAGCATGTTAGTAGTGTTATCTAAGTTTAGCAAGTGTGTGGGCAAGTGTGGGTCTGCCTGGCCACATCCAATCATGTTTGTCTGACAAGATTAGGGTTTTTAGTAGAAGCCAGGTCCTGAGTACCAGCCCCCGTCTACTATGAACAGAGTACCTGCCTACTTAAAGTAGGAAATTAAAAAAAGAATCGTCAAGAAAAAAAATTATCAACCTCAACTACATATGAACTCTTCCCTATAAGAAAAATTTGACATCACATGGCTTGTACCCTCCAGTCCATTCAGCGTATGGTAAGTGCCATAGCACTGAGAGTGCTCTTTTAAAAGTGCAGAATGACATCCTAATGGACTTGGATTCTCAACATGTTACCCTTCTTGTGTTACTTGATATGAGTGCTGCGTTTGACACAGTTGACCACGGAGTGTTATTGAATCACCTCAGCACAAGCTTTAGAGGGGATCGGCATTGCAGTGGTTTACATCCTACCTTCTCAACAGATCACAGCGTGTGTCTTTTGACCAAAATTTATTGGAGAAGTTCAATTTGCACTGCAGCGTTCTTCAAGGATCATGCCCAGGTCCATTGCTGTTCACCATCTATGCCAGTAAGCTTTTTCAGGTTATTAAGAACTATCTACCACAAGCGCACAAATATGCAGACGATACTCAGCTGTATCTATCATTCAATGCTGACTCGGCTTTTTCGTAAAACGATACAGTTGAGTCAATGGAGCAATGCATACAGGATATACGACCATGGATGATCAAGGATAAACTAAGCCTGAATGATAAGATGGAGTTCATGATTATAGGCACCAGAAAGCAAGTGGCTAAAGTGAACATTGATGGTCTTAGTGTCGGTGAGAGCATTATAGCTCCCTTGACTTCAGTTAGGAACTTGGAATTATGGTTTGACTGGACCCTGAGTATGAAACTACACAATAAGATATGTACGGCTGCGTCTTTTCATATTTACAATATAAGGCAGATCAGAAAGTACCTTAACAATGACGCCACACAAATGCTTTTTCACTCTATTATTATAGGCCGCTTAGATTACTGCAATAGTCTTCTTTATAAAGTTCCCACAGTACACATGAGTAAGTTACAATGCATTCAGAATAGTGCTGCCTGGCTTGTATGCTCAACTCGGTTTAATCATATTATACTCCTCTTATTTTCTTTGCATTGGCTACCTGTTGCCTACCATATTAAGTTTAAAATCCTAATTTTAACGTTTAAAGCAATATATCAACTTGTACCGTCCTATATCTGCAATCTAGTTCCATTAAAGGAGAAATGTAAATACCAGCTCTGTTCTTCTGAAGAACTACCATTGCAGTTGCGCATGGGAAAAACAAAGAAAACCCTGGGTGACAGATCATCCCAAATAGCTGTCCCTACACTGTGGAACAGTCTGCCTGCAAGTGTCAGAGACATCGATAACTTTTTGGTTTTTAAACAAACAATAAAGACTTACATATTTAGGAAGGCTTTCGGCTGTTATAGTTAGATTGATTAATTTTAGATTGTAAATTTTAGGTATTCTTAAATATACTTTATTGTAATTATTACAAGTAGTTATAGTTGTAAGGCACATTTGACCATATTCGGATGTCAATTTGCGAATAATAAGAAATAAATAATATTCAATCCAATTTTAATTGGATTACAGCCATTGAAATGGTTTTTTAAAAAAATGAGAAATGCTTTCCATTATTTAAACTGTTCATAAAATGCCTTGTTTTTTTCTGAAATACATCTCAGAATAAAGAGATGAATGTCAGTGTAAAAGATGCTTATCAGGTGACACTGCTCGCGCCTGAGAAACAAAACTTGGCAATAGCCAGCATGCCAAAATCTGAAGTGGCAAAGGCAGTACCAGATGATGTGATGTTTGCCCCAATAGAACAAATGACGAAAGTTATTAGAGACGAAAGTTATTAGAGAAGAGGAGGATGCATCACAACTGGCTAGAAGAGAAAGATCTTGCATACTGCAAAACCTCAGGGACTTGGTGGTTGCTGTTCTCAGAAAACCAAGGCGTTTTCTGTTTTCTTGTTCAAAAACACAAGACCCTTAATACCCAGAACATTGCTGCAGTATTTAGCAGCAGCCCAGGTACAAGATACTGGAAAGAGGCATTACGGAAACATGCAGCAACAAAGATGCACAAAGCTGCTATTGAAAATTAACCAAGGGTGTCCCTGTTTCAATCACAATATGAAGAAAAGCAAGCTGTTTGCAACAATGTTGTTTTCAATGCCTTTGCTACCTTGTGCTGGCTCACTAAAGAGGCAGTGGCCAATGCTAAGTCCTTTTCATTGTTGAAGCTGTTTCATGTTGTGTGTGTGTGGATAAGATGCGATACTTTAACCACAAGTCGCCTGGTGCCATAAGAGAAATATTCCTGCACATTGGGACTGTATTGAATTCCATCAAACATTAGTCAAAGAAATCAGGATTCTTTAGGCTGCTGATTAATGAGGTGACTGATATTTCTGTCACGAAGTAATGAGAAAATTTAGTGTAGTTTTGGAACGCAACTTCCAGTAAGGAAAGAAATCAAGTTTCTGAGTGCAAATGATTCGCTAGCAGAATCTGATTCTCTGAATGCAGAAACTATCTCCAACTGTCTTTTGACAGAACTAAATAACTGAATTGCCAGTGGATCATTTAATTGCCCTTTGCACCAATGGGGTATCAGTGATGACTGGGAAAAACTGTGGGGTTGCAGCAAAGCTGAAAGACCTAAACAGGCATCTTTTCAGCATCCATCGCATCTGTCAAAAGCATCACTTTCTTGTTGCAACACAAATGAGGGCCTTGCCTATGTGCAAGAAGTGGAGAGGTGGCTCTTTCAGGTTATTGTACTTGATGTTGGTGTACAGGGAACTAATGATGACACCCAGTTATTCAATTCTGTTGAGGAAAAAGTAGAGAAAACCTCCAAAGCCTTGGAGCTGCCAGATTTTGATGCTAAGGAGTGATTACAGCTCTGACTTTGAATTTTCATAAACTACAAAAACGTGCTATCAGTTTCACTCTTTATCTGTTTATAAGTTAAAGTTAACTTGTAACTGTAAGGAAGGTGTCGTGATATTGCGTTACACGGTCACGCCACTGGACCGATGAATATCTTTATATTTATAAGACTTAGCAGACAACGAATATACACGTGGCGGCAGTCGAGTTCGCACAATAAACAACCCTTTTGAGTTCACAGAATCGTGACATGGTGTCAGAAGTGGGATCTGTTCACCCCTAAAGATGACAGAAGCAGCTGAAGCATCCATAGTTGTGCCACCAGCGCCGACTCAAGTTTTTATTCCCCCGTCAAATTTGCCCCCGCCGAAAGCGCTTAATTTTGACGACAATTTAGCCACCGCATGGAAATCGTGGAAAGCAGCGTGGCAGCGCTACGAAATCGCTACTGGTGTATATAAACAAGAGGGCATAGTTCGTGTGTCGACATTACTAAGCATTATAGGCGAGGATGGCGTCAGAGCCCACGATACCTTTATTTGGAACGAAGACGAAAACGCAGACGACATTTCACAAGTCCTGAAGAAGTTCGACGAATTCTGCATACCTAGGACACAGGTCATATATGAACGCTATAGGTTCAACAACCGAAACCAGGAACCAGGCGAAAACATCTCGACGTATCTTACGGAGCTTCGAACGATCGCAAAAACTGTGCACACGATACAATCACACCAGATGAAATTTTGCGTGACCGCCTCGTGCTAGGCATACGGGATGATCGCGTCCGCGAGAGACTTCTCCGTTTGAATGATTTATCTCTCCTACAAGCAGTTGACATTATTAAGTCGTCAGAACAGACCCAACAGCAAGGTAAAGCTAATGGCTGGAGGAGACACTGCAGTTCATGCGTTACGGAAGGCGGGATCGGCAGAAAAACCTGAAGAAGAACGACAACTTAAGTCACAAGCATTTAGAAGACCGTCTAAAGAATGTGGAAATTGCGGAATGGTGCATGGACGTCATTGTCCCGCGTATGGAAGAACATGTTTTAACTGTGGGAGTATGAATCATTTTGCGAATAAATGTCGCGCTAATCCCCGAGGAGTGAAAAGTAGAGTTTCGGCGGTCCACGAAGCCGTCGACATGGGAAACGACCCCTACTACATTGGTGCTACTACTAGTAAGAGCAAAGGCCAGGAAAAATTGGCAGTGGTCAAACTCCACATTTATGGGCCAGATCCCAAGACAGAAGTCCAGTTTCAAATAGATACTGGGTCGCAGTGCGACATTCTCCCGGCCCAATTATACAAGCAAATCACTGGGGACACCCTCCTTCATCGCCTCAAACCATGCCAAAAGGAAATAGTCTCGTACACAGGGGATCGCCGCAAAATTGCTGGTAAAGCTACCCTGCCTGTGTGGTCCCGTGGACAGCGGAGGTCAATGGAGTTTAACATCTTAGACGGAGACTATCAACCGATTTTATCATTGAACACCAGCCTCAATCTTGGCTTTGTGAGTTTGCATAATTGTGACGTCCTAGCATTACACGTCAAGTGTCCCAAAGCCTCCTTGCTCGAAGAGTATGAGGACGTATTCGACGGATTAGGGGCCCTACCGGGAACATACAAAATAGCCATAGACGAACAGGCGCAACCAGTTGTCCACGCACCGAGGCGAGTGCCAGTAGCCTTGCGTCCATGCATCAAAAACAAGCTGGACGAACTTGTTGATCGTAAAGTTATTATTCCAGTAACAGAACCGACGCAGTGGGTATCCAGCATGTTGGCCATAGTGAAGCCAAACAAAGTACGCATCTGTATTGACCCGAGAGATTTAAATCGTGCCATTCGGCGAGAGCATTACCAGTTGCCGACTATCGATGAAGTGGCCTCCCGCTTAACAGGTGCCAAGAAATTTACTCTTTGTGATGCCAAGGATGGTTTCCACCAAATCCTCTTAGACGATGCTTCTAGTTTCCTGACAACGTTCAATACGCCTTTTGGGCGTTATAGATGGGCCCGCATGCCTTTTGGTATCTCAAGTGCGCCTGAAGTTTGGCAGCGACGCATGCACGAATTCGTAGAAAATTTAGAAGGAGTTGAAGTTATCGCTGACGACTTCCTCATCGCTGGATTTGGCGAAACTGACGCAGAGGTCAACTCGAGCCTTGAAAAGAACGAACGTGCGTTCTTCAAGAAATGCCGGGAGTGGAACCTCAAGCTCAACAAACTCAAGCTGAAAAGATCTCAAACCGAAGTGCGTTTCATGGGCCACCTCTTGACTCCTGATGGTCTAAAGGCAGACCCAGCCAAAGTTGAAGCTATTTTGGATATGCCACCGCCGACTGATGTGAAAGGCCTGAAGAGGTTTTTGGGGATGGTCAATTATCTGGCCAAATTCTTGCCACTCCTGTCCGACATGACAGAACCTTTGCGAAGGCTTGAGGACAAGGACGTCGAGTGGTGTTGGCTTGCACAGCATGAGAAAGCATTTACCACAGTCAAAGAATACTTGGCCACGGCCCCGGTACTGAAATACTTGATGTTACTGAAGAAGTGACAATCCAATGCGATGCCAGCATAACGGGTCTAGGTGCAGTACTGATGCAAAAGGGTCAGCCCGTTGCCTTTGCCTCGCGAGCTCTGACCGACACCGAAACGCGTTACGCTCAAATCGAGAAAGAGCTCCTCGCCATAGTGTGGTCAACCGACAAGTTCAATCAATACATACTGGGACGCGAAGTTGTACACATCGAGTCTGACCACGAACCACTAAGGGCAGTTTTTACCAAGCCAATACACAACTCACCAAAGAGACTCCAGAGAATGCTGATGGCCCTTCAGAATTACTCCCTGGATGTGCAGTATAAAAAAGGGGAACTTATGTGGGTATCAGATGCACTGAGTCGAGCATACCGCAACACCACCGAAGCCTCCAAGCACGATACAAGTCTGATCTGTACACTTGCCGAGATAGATCATTCAGAAAACCTCTCGATTGCACCATACAGGCTCGCTGAATTCAGAAACGAGATTGCCAGGGACCCAGTGATGCAAAAGCTAATCGGAGCAATCAAGGGTGAATGGCCAGTGTCAAGGAAGTCCTGTACCCCTGAGCTGACGCCTTACTATGACAAACGAAGTGAGCTTATAGAAGACAAGGGACTAGTATTCCTGGGGGAGCGATTGCTGGTACCCCCATCCCTGAGAAAAGAAATGTTGAAGCAAATTCACTGATCACATATTGGAATCGAAGGGTGTTTACGTCGCGCTAGGGAGGTCCTCTATTGGCCCCTCATGAATTCGGAAGTAAAGGACTTTGTTTCCAAATGCTCAATCTGCCAGTCCTACCAGCCAGATCAGTGCCGCGAGGAATTGCAACCGTATCCGATCCCGTCGCGTCCCTGGTCGATGCTAGGTGCCGATTTTTTTGACCTTGGGCAACAACATTTCTTTGTCCTAGTCGACTACTGGAGTGGGTTCTTTGAAGTCCAGGAGGTTAAGGTGGCCACATCTGCTAGCGTGATAGCTGCGTGTAAAGTACAATTCGCCCGCCATGGGATACCAGACGTGCTTATTACCGACAACGGACCTCAGTTTACGTCATCGGTGTTCAGTGCATTCGTGAGAGAATGGCAGTTTGAACATAGAACTTCGAGCCCCGTTACCCCCAGTCAAATGGCCGCGCCGAGAATGCCGTGAAGACCTGCAAGAACTTGATGACGAAAGTGAAAGCGGATGGACAAGACCCGCTGTTAGCCCTTCTTGATTGGCGCAACACCCCAACAGAGGGTCTAGGAACATCACCCGTACAGAGACTGATGGGACGCCGCACACGCACTTTCTTACCAACCCATGAAACGCTCCTGCGGCAGCCATCACACCAGGAAACAGCCACCAAATTAGCTGAGCGCAAGAAAAGACAAGCTCAACAATACAACAAAACGTTTCGCCCTT